CACAGTCACCCTATTACCCGGCAAATGTACATTATTGTGCAGACATCAACCATCTCGAACCGTTTAAAATAAGCAAATAGTTCTTCGACATTGCAACTGTTTGAATATTCTATGCATCCGATGTCCCATCACAATCCAAAGATTTCTAGGTTTCAGATTATTTACAAAACACTGCATAAAATACAAGATAATGATTTCCCATTTTCATTAAAAAAATTATAACAGTAATGTTTTTCCAGGGTCATCTGCTAATATTTTTTATTTAATTACGATGTTTATAATATCATTAGACTAAAACTGATGATGCAGCATTTCTTCGTGCTCCAAAAGCAGGAAGTCCTGAGAAACAAACATATGGCATTTCGGAAATTATGTTTGTGACTTTTTGGAGTATTAAAAACCTATCAGCACAAGTGCTGCAGCAAGAATCCCATCTTATTACTTCTAGCAGCAACATTTTCCATATCATCGGTATTACGCTAACTTTAGCATTTAATTTGCTGAGCATCTTTTCTCCATATCTTCCATTATATTTTTGAAGAGTCATGAAAATCATTTGCACATTATTTGCTTTGCAATCAACAAGCTGTTTATGATTTATATGAATATAATGTTTTGGACGATTTTCATTATTCAGTTGAACAAAAAACTCAAAAGAGTTCAAAATAACGAGCATTTTTCTTCTAAGGGAATTAAAAAATGGCTGGCGACAGCAAAAATTCAAGGTGGCAGGCAGTCGAGGTATTCTAAATTATTTTTCTATAGGCGAATGGGAAAACGTTCGAGATAGCGAAAGTTCGAGGTAGCGGGCAGTGGAGATAGCGGATGTCAACTATACACCATTCTCATTATGGCTTTTTGAAAAAATTAATCAAAAACACGAAATCTTTGATATAATAGAGAAGGCAGCCAAAATGTGTTGGTTTGCCAAGGAGTGACGTTGTTTTAGGCAAAGTTGGAAGAACTTCAGTTTTTTAACTGCAATAGGATATTATTATCATCATTGTTATAAGTAGGTGAAACTTATACAGGACATAAAAACCACTCACGGCGTCGCATTCTTTGCAATGCCAAGTTTATATTCCATACAAGGCAGATATGATTCAGAAAAGATAAGACGATTAAAAAAGTGCATTTTGCATCATTTTGATATTACTGACTATAGGAAATGCCTTTCATTGAGTGAAAGTAGAATTTCCTAAGGAACGCAAGAATATTAGGGGAATGTTGCATCCCCTTTCCCCAGTACACTCCGGGGGAACAGTTATCACTCAACCCAGGACCATCGTTTTTATCATTGTATGCAAACCTTAATAAACACGAACCTATACACTTTCTTTATAATTTCCTAGCATCTTACAACTTGCCATTACTCAAGAAATATTTAATGAAAATTTGGATGGGGCTTCATCTATTGCTTGAAAAAAGTTATTTTGTTTGCTATCCATACATTTGGGGTTAAATTTGAAAAGTAAATATGTTCGTTTTTTTCATAGTATGCAAACTGTAAAAACACGTCTAGTCTTGCAAAATCAACGACTGAAATAAAAGAGGCGTTCTAGAATTGTTTATCATTTGATAACGTATTATTGCTCAAAGAATCTTCAATGAAAATTTTGTTTGGATTTCTTACATCGTGTTGGTTAATATTGCAATCTTTCAAACGATTTTTCAACATTTCCTTTTTTGGAAAAGTTAAATCTAGGCACGACTGAGGTTCTTTAAAAAACAATATTTCAATATTTCTACATATTTTGATTTCCTCTTTCCAATTCACTTAGTTGAGATGAACAGAATGTTTTTGAACGCGAACAAACAAACCTGTGTGCAGACTCTAAAGCCTCTCTGCAGCTTAACAATCTTTTTTCATTCGTACACAGAACCGTCCCCTCTCTTTTAGCCAAATTTTTTTTACTTTCATTTTGTTAATTGATTTTATCAAATTTCAAATTCCCTATTTCTAATTTACATTATGAAGTTCTGGTTATTGTTTTCTGATTAATGATGTATAGTATAATTATATAAATTTTATATCACATCATATAACCCTATTCTATGTAACTTTGTTACTTAAATTGTATCAATTTTATCATTTCTGTTAACTAAATATGGTGCTAGGATAAATTAATAAAAGCGTTGTTGTTTTAATTATCTTAATTTTTTAGACAGCTAGTTACTTATCACAATAATTGTAAACCAAAATTGTTTTTGCTGAATAACATGACTCTTATTTGAACTGTTCTGCACACAGGCTAGAACAAACATGCAAGATATACGCAAACCGAACACAAGAGAGAATGGAAATGGTTGTAAGATTAAAGAGAAAATTAAAAATGTGCTCTCTTAGAAGCTGCAGAGTTTTATGAATACCTTGCAACCTTTTTCGTTGTGACGCGCGCAGCCGATGCGAACGATAAAGCTTGACCGCATACGTCACCGCCTGCCTAGACGGAGATATAGTGAAAGAACAATTTATAACTTGAAACATGATCTTGTTTCATGATCATGCATTTGGTTAACAAAGTTATGCTACGAGTATTAATTGTGCTCTTATAATCATATTACAGTTGATTTTTATCAAACCTCTAGGTAGGCAACAGGATTTCCATCCAGGGGGAGCCGATGTCATGCGGTTTTGTGGTCGCAGACCCTGCTTCCAGAACAACGGGTATTGATTCAAAGAACTTATAGACAGCTGAATCTGGCAATGGCAGCATATACACTCTATCTAGCCATCTATACTCGGGGATGCTTTGTCGGTGAATTTTCAAACTCGTTGGCAAATCAAGGATGGCTCACTCATTTTGCTTGTGAATTAGGTCTACACTTTCTTTGAGCATAATAGCTAGCGATTACACTGCTTACACCCAAATGATTAAAAAAACAAATAAAGAACGATCTAGCCTCAAGGTTTTTGAAAAACTAAGAACGCTAAGCTTGAACTTCAGGTTACTGGCTATGATAATAGAGGTCTAAAGTGATGACGTCACAAAAATCTATTTTTAGAACTTTTTAATTTGGATCCCATAACCTGAAAAGTATCATGAAACACCTCTAAATTTGCAAAATCATGCAAGTGTATTACGAAATGGCAGAGATATGGCCACATGTTTATTGGTAATCTCCCCATCAAACCTCTGTATTTTGGTCTCTGTTCATAACTATAATTTTTCATTAGCCATATCTCAACCGATTATAGATATATTTGGCCAATTTTGCGTATTTGAAAGTATTTCATGGTGATCTTTTACGCTATGTGGTTAAAATTCAAAAATTCTAAAAATAGGTTTCTGATGACGTGACACTTTAGAACTCTATAAAGAGGGCACCGCCATTCCGTAAACATGCCTCTTGTTTGTTATTCCCAAATTGTAGCTTTGATGAAGCCCAATTTAGGGGGGGGGGGGGGGGTGGGGATTGACTAGGATGTGAGTTTACTCATGTGTATCGCCTCACTTCCTATGAAAACAGGTTTAAGCGTCGCTGCTGCGTTCTATCCCAGTCTTCTAGCTACAATGTTCCCTAACACTAAAAGTGATAAGTGTCAGGAGGTTTCTGTGCGAACCAAAAGTAATTTCTGTAGAATGGATCATTAGGTGGAACATTGAACTGTGACGTACAGTATCTCTTCACAAAAGTATTTTCTTCCAAAAAATATTTTACTTAAATAAGATAGAAAAGGCAAACTCACAGCCTGTTATACTTTTTCCTATACTTGAGGTATACGTCAAAGTTAATGATAGTGTTGTCGATTTGGCGTCCACTCTCCCTGTTAGCAAGAGAGCAAGCATGACTTCTCTCTAGGAATTTCACTGTTCTGTGGAGAAGATCATTTTAATGACGCAATCGACAGGTGCAAATATACAAGAAAGGAACACATAGAGTTTGAATGTCAAGTTCAGATGCAGGGTAACATTAAGTTAGTTTGCCTTAACGATTGGTGCTCGAGATTTCGCTCAGTGATCGCTATAGATGGTCCTGCGAAGTGTCCGACTTAAACCAGTTTTTAAAGATGGATCAAGGATTTATTTCTCCTGATTCTCATGCTTACAGGTGGAGCACAGTCGGCCATTTCCCTAGCCATCTCGAAGCAAGTACGTCAGCATTTTCAAAAACATCATTTTTCAAAATGAAAGTCGATTTTAATTTACCTTTGATATAATACTGAATATACAAGCACCTGGAATACAAAGAGCGCTCAACACACATCAGTGCCACCTCGTGATCGTGAGAAGCGTAGTTCCAACATGCGGTTCAAATAACAGTTTCCCGTCGCTTAACCAACGGTCCTATTCTCATTCTGCATTTAAGATTTTAAGACTGACCCACACTTCAATCCCTTTGTTCACGCGCGCGCTATGACAGACGGTACAATACATATTCCGAGATCGCTTGGGTCGCAAAGAACAAATTTTGCTCGCCTTCGCAGTAGGCAGTGATCCAACTCCTAAAGCGACTTCGCGCGAACAGGCTGACAGAAACTTTATCAGGCCAGGGTCTGCACAGCGCGTTAAACAAAAGGCAGAAGCAGGGTTGCCAGATCGGGTTTAGAAAAAAGGCGAGACGGGTGACTAACACAGGTCAAACTGCATATAAAGAGGCCAAATGAAAAAACTCACAAAAATAAACTGCGCACGCATAGTTTATACTTCCACGCAAGAGCCTTTAAAAACATCGACTAAACTTAGACTTAGACCCCGTTTACACTTGCACGGATCCAAATGGATCCGTACCCAAACTAGCACAGATAGGCTTTCCGTTTACACTAGACCTGCTGGATCCGTACTCATTTGGGTATGCTATCTGGACCCGTGTGGGATCGCTTTCCAAGGCGTACTCACTTGGATCCGTTCCCGTTTAGGTCTAGTGTAAACGACTGGAACCGAACCAAACCAAGCACACTTCTGATACGAGGCATGAATTTTTCTTCTCAAGAGGCCAATTGTTGGCGCCAAAATCTCGAATTCCATATACAAACAGAAAGTTCTTCTTATACTCACATTGTCAGTGTTTTAATTCCTGGCCGCAGTATATTGCTTTTCTATGTGCTCAACACAGGATTCGTCAGTTGAGACTATAGCTTTGGCTATATCTAAACAAAGCAGCCTGGGACTAGGCCTACATCGTAACATTCAGCTACAGCGATATCGGCACCGCAAACCAAGAAGATTCTGGCAACGACCAGGAAGAACCAGTGTTAAGTAGCAAATTTCCTGAATGCTAAAGTTGTTCCTGAAGAATCATACGATAATTTTAGACTAACTACGATCGTTCTTACAAAAGCGACCAACTCACTTGAGAAAACCTTTGTCTGTTGAAACCCAATGGGAGGTCAAGTAGTTGAGACAGTGGACTGGATACGTGCTAGTGTACACGCGATCTAAATTGGATCCCTTCCAGTGTAAACACCAACAAAACTGGTCACGGATCCAAAGTGGTTCAGTACCCATTTGGATCTGTGCTAGTGTAAATGGGGTCTTAGAAACCTTTGCCTTAAAAAACATTTCGTTAATCATTAGGTCAGGTTATAATATTGACATATGGGCTCACATTGTTAGCAGACAAGGTTCTCAAATTATCTAAACCATGCATTGTGTTAGACCTTTCTCACAAAGATCATTAAATCTTTTAAGGCCTTTACTCTTAAGGAGTTATTAGACACTGATTGGTCAACACAGAAACCAATCAAACACTACGTTCATCTCTCTATGTCCTCTATCCAAAGTTTATTATTCTTAGAAAAATCGGAAATTAGAAAATCGCAGGATGCCTCCAAGATTCCTGAAATGTACCATCTCATCTACTTGAATTTTTGCAGAACAAAAGCACTATGCCCTTTATAAACTGCCTGGTAAATTTACAGGGACCGAAGACCTAATCGACGGAAAATGGATAATAATGGCGAAAGGATGGGAAAGTTTGTCAAGTAGAACGTTCAAAGCAAAAAATCCTTAAAAATGCGAAGAAGGCAAAGTTATCTTGACTTCATAATACCACTCATTCTTCCCCACCAACAAGGAAGACAGCATTGAAGACCAAAACAGATCTGAGCCAAAAATGAATTCATATTTTCAATTCTTTACTTAAAGGCATAATGTGAATTGCTAGGATACTACGAAAATACAAGCTACCTCATGCTGTACTTGTTGCCTTTAAGAGTCTTGATGCTATAATTTTAAAGGAAACAAATGCATTAACAAATGAGAGCTTGAAAAGTTCATATTTTCTGCCCATGAAAACTGTGAGCTTCTCTAAAGAGGTTTTGGTTTTCCATGCTTCTTCTTCTTTCATTTTTCTTTGGTATTCTATGAAATGAAAAGCCGCCATCATCAAGAGAAGAAAGCAATAATGCCAAAAAGGAATAAGCGAATGAATCATTTTGGGAAATCAAAATAGGCATTAAAATAGATCTAGTAGTGAGGGGGAACGGCCCTATAAATAGTAGACTATCTCTTATGTTTGCTCGAATCTAGGCGATTGCAGACACAAGCAACCCAAGTGGCTGTGTTATTCATATGAAAACCGACGTCAAATCTAGCTGAAAATCTCGTCAATTTTTCCAAATCTCTCCGCTAACAGCAAAAAAGGCAAAATTTAGAGTTCAACGCGAGTAGCGAATTCATAATTCATCACCAATGTGATTCACTCTATGGCTGTGGATAGCGCTGTGCTCTAGACGTGAGCATAAGAGGACAGATTTAAACAATGATACGTAAATGATATAATCCTACGCGTAAGAAAGCATTTATTTGACGACAAGACTAAAATTCCCTTTGCAGCATTAAAAATGTCGTTAAAATGGTTACATCACGACGGCAACACAGTTCTATCTTGAATGTGCAGCTGAAAAACACGTGGATTTAGAAAAACACATGGTTCTCATTAGAGAGGATCATGGATTTGCCACATCAAAAAACTCTTGTCTGTTTATTCGTCTTAATTGAAGAAATCGCAGCTTTGCGTAGTATTGTTAATTGATAATAAGGCACATCCATAGATGAAATCAGACCAAATCAGAATGTAAGCTCAAGTATATAGAAATCAGTTCAGATAAATCTAGTAATCTCAGTAAGCAACAGAAATGAAAGGTGTTTGTGTAAGCAACAGAAATGAACAGGCACAGTTGAGTTCCTAAATAACATTTAATTGCTACTGTTGACCCAAAAAATAAAGGCGAGCAATTAAACACTGATCGGGACTGATCGGGACTGATCGGGACTGATCGGGACTGATAGGGACTGATCGGGACTGATCGGGACTGATCGAGACTGATCAGGACTGATCGAGACTGATCGGGACTGATAGGGACTTGTCAGAGCTGACCGCGACTGGTCGGAACTGATTGGCATTGGTCGACACTGCGATGATGTGCAGCATCTGATAAAGGTGCTTGCAATTAGCGGGCAACATAGATTCATAGCATTGGAATGATCATTCAACATTGTAAGACTTGGTAGTTTAGTTCTTAGTCTTAATATTTGAAATTCTTCTTTGTTACAATGTGGCATCATCCATTTGTGATGTTTGTTTAATGCTTCTTAGTTCGAGTCATGTACTATGTATCAATGCTTCTGCGCAAATCGAGCATAGCCCTTCTTCACACCTAGCTGTTTTCAACTTTGCTGAGGAACACACTTACCGCTGAAACAACATCGGCTACTAGTATTTATTGAACAAATCAACGAATCATTTTTAACAAAAAAGGAGGCGCATGAACGGCAGCTTTTGTTCCGTTTTCGATGTTCTTCCAAATGTTTACTAGTATCAAATATCCTTATAAAAGATGCAAAGGTACGACGAGCGAGAGATGGATAGACCTTGTACCATATTTGAAATATATTTTAAAATTATATCTTCAGAACATTAAAGGCGAAGCGATGGGAAAAAGCGGTGACCAAAAAAACCAACAAAAGCCATCACAAAATACCAGTTTATAGGGAATATGCAGTTTGGTTGTCTCTAGTTTAGCCACAATTACTTTGCTACTGGGCAGGGGAAACATTCTTGACCAGCTAATTTTTGCTGGGTGTTGGAATATTCAACAACAAAAATAGTGAACAATTTTTTTGCGGTACAGAATTCCGACGTTTTATGCTCTGAGGAGTGTCAGACGAAAAAGCTTTTAGTATGTCGTAAAATGTTTGCTTTTTTCAAAGCCATTAACAAAAATAGTATGGTAGCTAGGTTGGAAAGAATAAATATTTAGATAAGTATGATCTTACCTGCTTCGTGGTCATCCATGACATCATCTTCCTTTTCCAGAGTAACATTGAACGATTCATACATGTAGCAAGCAGGAGTCTCTGAGGTCACGTGCACAATATGCGTTTCATTTCTTGGCAGTCTAATGCTATCGTTCACACCCAGGGTGAAATTCTTATCCTCATACTCCACTTTCACCTCACCATGAAGCACTGTTAAATTTGCCATGACATCATGATCTATGTAGTTCTCTAGAAATAAACCAGGAAAATCCGCCACAAAGGTTACATCTGAAATGTTGCTTTTTTCGTAGGTCTGCGTCGCAATTTGTTTCAGGCTCTTTCTCCAGGGCGTAAGTTTGGTAAGCAAAGGACGTATCCAAGTACTTTCCTGAAAGTGTGACCAGGGCGCAGTGACCATATCAACATTAGGATCAATTAGCCTCTGTTGGAAACGCTTGTTCAACGACCGCCATACATCAAAGTAGATACGAGGTTGCTGTATTTCCAGTTCGGGTGTTTTCTTGATATTTTCTGCTAAGCACAGGGCGTATTGCTTTATCATATCCGGGTGGGTATTCCAACGTCTCTCTTTTCTGCCTTTAATAAAGGCCTGCGAAAATCACAGAGATAGTCAAGAAACATAAAACTGTCAGTAAAATTTGGTAGCATTCTATAACCAAGCTGGAATATTGGATATTGGTGGCGATTATTGATCGGGGGTTTTCATAACGTGTAACGGGCCATTGCATGACAAATACTAGGCTATCAGGACGAAAAAGCCTTCAAAATGAGGTACGGTTTGCTGTGTTCAAAGGAACATTTTAAGTTTGAAAATGAGCGCATTTGTAGTGGACACTAAAGATATTTTGCTAAACTTAAATCACCAATCAGCACGGGAAGGCCTGGGATTTCTGTTGCACTATAGTGCAACACTATAAACTCAATGCCGCTTGGTAAAGTAAAATTCTTAAGAAATCTCCAAAAAGTACTGGACTAAAGCTGTAGGTCCAGGATTCAGTGTCTGAGTGAATGCAGAACATCTTTCCCCAAACAGAGTTACAAATGTCTGCAAGAAATTTTCATCGAAACACAATTTCTAAACTTGAGGACCCTACAGCATGTTTAAGAGAAACTTTTTATAAAAAAGGGCGAATATCAGGACGCCAGCCATTCTAAAAGTGGAAGTGGAGCGAAAAAGATAAAAAATAAGAAGTAGCAGCAAATTTATTCGGCTAAATGATCTATAATGGCTCTATGCTTCTTCAAAGTTATTTTCACCGTTTCAAATTTACCAAAGAATGGAGGGGTGCAGAGCTCCAACTTTTTGAAAGATAGTCAATGGAATTCGTACGAAAATATACTTTAATCAAATGTGCTTTACAAGAGAATCATAGAGAGAGAAGTCATACAATTATGAAAAGCCAACATACCTTGATTTAATGTACCTTTACAGGCAGTTTTCCCGCTCTTCCAGCAGTTATAAGAGCGTAGTTAAAAACAATCCTTGCAGACCTAAAAGCTTATTCTATTGGGCCTACCCATTTGCTTACTTTTGCGCCACGAACTTCCACAGCTGCTAATTAACATAGACGACGACGTTTGTATAGTATTCTCAATTGACTTGGATCGAAGAAATAATGGCAGGCAAATATGCTTACCCCTGGTCGCAGGTAGGTTGCTTCACCAGTGGCGTTATCAACCACTTTGATCACAACATGCTGTGTGGTCCACGAATGCACCATCATGTCCCAAGAGTATCCATAAAGACCTTGAGTCCAGGCATTGTAACCCTGGCGACAAAAACAATAACACGGTATTGTAAATAAGTAACTAGTAAATGTACAAAGGTTTTAATTAATTGAAAGCTGTGATTTCTTATATTCAAATCTGATGAAACGGAAAAATTGCAAATTCTGCTCATAAAAATTTTATACTTTTTTTATTAGCAGGAAAAACTTTCTCTGATAGTAAATTTGGCCTCAGAACGAACTATGAGTTATCGATTAAAATTCGTCATTTGCCGTATTACAGAATTTTTCAAAATACCTTTCTTGTTGTCAAATAATGGCTGGAGAAAATTTTTCAGCGATTGTGAAAAGGGCAAAAGGTTCTTTAAATGAAAAAAAGGCGAAAGGTTCTTGAAAATAAACAATACATGTTTATCTCAGTAGTATGCAAGCGAGTAATGTATGCAAGAAAAGAAAAAGATCCCTATTTGACGTATCAGAAAGTGACACAAGGTTCAGTAATATGACTTAGAAACTTAAATCAAGACTAGAAATCAACTGTTATAAATTATATACGCGAGGCTTTTATTAGCATTCAATAAATAAATATGGATGAATATATATACCATATCAATGGATTGCAGGGGGAAAATTGACTTATTTGTGATACAAACTGACCTTTGTTATTGAATGTGAATATGGCAAAGTCAACTGCAAAGCGACATAAAGACTAGCAATCGAAATGGAAAACCATTGCATTCTGGGTAATTTTCCTTTGACAACATTACTGCACACAATGTTATCTTTACATTGTTTAATCGTTGGAAGAAAAGACTTGAAAAATCCAGGGGCATGACTGATAAGCTTTTTAGGCCAAGCAGCGTGACAGAATATCGGCATTGTCGCCAACATCGTCCATGGGAACATACCAATGCTGAACATCTGTGAATTCATCAAATGGAACATGCCCCCAAATAGAAATCCAAAGGGTCGTGTTCTGTCGAAAAGTAATAGAAAGCCCTCAATGAGGTCAAATGTTAATCCACAGATGTGAACGAAAAAATGATCAATGACGTCATTACTCAGGCCAAGGTAGCGCAGAGGGTCAAATACCCACTGCCTGCTCAGGCCGGTCATCGAGTATCCAGACACCCAGTCCATATCGAGCTTTTTCAAACCAGCGTAGAAATAAACCAGAGTGAACTAAAAGGAAAAATAGATTCATTAACTTATGAAATATTCAATAGGCACATGAAATGGAATGTTCAATAGGCTATATATGGAAAGCTAGACAAACACCTAAATAGAAGGGTATCATAACTTGCAGGTAGTTGGATTGCTTACCGTTTAATGGACACAGGGAATTGGTTAATTTGGCTAGCGTCAATAAGTGCATAGAAATTGGTTTACGTTTTAGGGTGCAACGCAAGAGCAAAGCTGACATGTAGTAGGGAGTAATATCTGAGGAAATTTTTTCAGCTAGGGGGATCCAAGGGCGGTATAGCTGAATTAGGGGTGCCGATCGCTAATAAGGAACGAGAGCCCATTTGAATAAAAACTCTGCCTAAGAATCAAACGGTTAGCCGACGATCAAGTAATGAAAGTCCTTTCTGCTTTTTTGCCTGACAGCATTTCTTGTTGCATCTTTGAGCCCTTTTACTGCGTACATGGAGATCACAAGAGCTTAAACTTAGCCAACCCCATATGACTTATTTTATGTAAAATGAAAGGCCCTTTCATATCCGCTGATGCAAATCTATAAAAACTGTTCAAATTTGATTTGCATTCACTGCCAAAATCATTGGAATACTAAAGTCGGCTTTGAAGGTCAAATTCAGCCAATCCTTTGTCTTTCTTAAAACAATGCTGGTTTATTACAAAATGACGTAAAAACTTCGGAAGTATATCATATTTACCTCGGAGAAAGGGTTTGGACCAAATTGATGAGTATTCCCAGGACGTTTGGCGAGCATTGTTGGAAAATAAAGATTTGTATCATGATATCTGGCAAAAAGAGGAAACCGTTTCATTTCGACAGTAACTGAATTAAAAGTTCTTAGTTACCTGAAACTTGAATATCCCATAGTGCCAACGGGGAACACTGACGTTTCTGATACTAGGCCATAGCAAAGCATCTACTGACCTAGAACGAGATCAAAAGGTTCCATTAGGTTGAAGCGTAGCAGTGATATAGAGAGTTCCTTATTGTTGAACATGAAAAAATCACTGGGACTAAAGGTTCACAGAAAAACTTGGATAGGGGAGGAGGAGGGACTAAAAGGTTTTTATGGCAACATGCTGACTTGACTCCAAGGGTACGACGATTGATTTTATGACTTTAAGCATCTTTTTTTTAAATTATAAGCTAAGCTAGATCCCCATGGCCTCCTGCTTCCACTGTCAGACTGGAGCTTGAGGGTCAGGCTAAAAATTGAGTGTCAGGCTAAAAATTGAGGGTCAGGCTAAAAATTTAGGGTTAGGCTAAAAATTTAGGGTCAGGTTAAAAATTGAGGGTCAGGCTAAAAATTGAGGGTCAGGCTAAAAATTGAGGGTCAGGCTAAAAAATGAGGGTCAGGCTAAAAATTGAGGGTCGGGCTAAAAATTGAGGGTCAGGCTAAAAATTTAGGTTCGGGCTAAAAATTGAGGGTCAGGCTAAAAATTGAGGGTCAGGCTAAAAATTGAGGGTCAGGCTAAAAAGGTCATACTTTTGCTAGGGTTGTCCATTACACATACGGGTTACAAGGATTTTAGAGAAGCTTATAAATGTCATAAGATGAAATATATTAGCGAGTTAAAAAGGGGTCTTTTCTTTAAGGGAGGTGGCAAATTTGTAGGCTGGTGAAGGAAAGATTTTTTTAAAGAGGGTTGTTGGAGAGGCCAAAAATTCGATGCACCCATAATTGTTTCCACAATTGATTACTTTACATGGACATTCTACGCGCTGGGTCTCTATTTTCTACTGGTTTTTCAAACTACTGGTATAAATTATATAATGTGTTTTCAACTGTTAAAAGGCCACAACACTCTTGCCCATCAGCCAAAGCTACACGAAATTGTTTTCCTGGTTAATGCGAGTCCTGAGACAGGAAGATTTCAAAGACTCCGAAACGAGTGTGCTCATATCAAGTTTCACAAAAGAAATTATATGGTCTAAACGATTTTGCACCACAGGAAATGACCCATTAGGGAAGGTCTAGCAGCTAAAACTGTGTGCAATGAGACCAAATCGATAGCAATTAAAAATAGAATTAGATTATCACTATTTCCTTTTCCCTGGTGATTATTATATCAGTCAGTTTGATTTTGATTCTTAAGGACATAGTTAACATCTTTGCTCTTTATCACAGAGAGAGGAAATACTGTTCATTAATTTTAGCACCACAATAAATCTCCATCCCATTATATGAAATACAGAAGATGAAATTATCAGCTATTTTTTATTACACTGGATCCTCACATAGTATTTGAATGGTGACCTGTTTTGACTATTCAATTTTTTTCAAACATCCACTGCAATTTCATCAACTTCCAATTCATTCATACAAAAAAATCAATATTCTGAATGAAATGATCAAGATATTACAAAATTTACAAAACTTTAGTTTTATCAATAAGCCACAATAATTTAAAGCACAAGAGTTGAGAAGGGAGAAAGGGGCACAAATAATGATGCACAACTTTATGCCAGTTTCATTCGCAACTTCCTATGCTCTATAAAAGCCCCTGAGAGCCATAGCTTAAAAGCCTGCCCATTCTTACCAAAACATAATAAAAGGTAGTTATCTGAAGGAAAAGGTAAATCAGGACAGGTTACAAAGAAAAGACGTACCAGTAATGATGAGCATTTGTTAGTAGCAGCATAAAACCAACTAGTCCGTAAAGGTATGAATGGTTGTTCCATGTTGTTTTGTCCAAAAAGAATAGATACCAGTATGTCAGAACAAAGGAGGTACAACTTAGTCTATACAAAAACCCAAGCATAATACCGATTGCACTGAGAAACATGGCAGCATAGACCATGTACATCCATTCTAATGGAAGGGGCTGTACCCAGCTGAATAACGGAAAATTGCAGGTATCTGGCTCAGCCCATCTTTTATGCAGCATTGACATCCCTCTTTCTTGAGGTATGTCCAATAACATTAGAAATCCTGAAAAGAAACATGGAATATCAATGGGATTAGATTAACTGCTTTTGATCATATGTTGCTAAGGAAAAAAATGAAAATTGGAAGAAAATTAATCCAGTCATGAATTAAATACATAAATATAAAAAGTTGGCCAGAAAAAACTATGTTTGACTTCAAAAAATTAACCTTTGATGCTGAATTTGTGACAAATATAATCAAAAGTGTATGTTGAGATCTTGAAATGCTACAACTTTAAATTTCATATCATGCATGCCTTGCTTTAAGCAAAATATAAGGGGCTCCATAAAACGAGCTCCTAAGAATTTGGAGGCGATCTATTTCACACCTCTTAGTAAAATTGCCTTGAGATCATCTGTGGGAGAGGGGCGACATGTTGCACGATAGGGACTGAGCTCCCATAGTACCATAAACTGGAGCCTTGTGTTAGATATTGTGTGGTATTGATTTTAATTTAGTATCATGTGAACAGGCCTCAGTTCAGATGTACACATATACGTTTTTAAACGCTCGTGTTTTCTTCATAATGAAAATGAATCTAGCGTCTAGCCTCCAAATGGCAGCAATGGATTATCAAATATTGTTTCATTTTTGAATGATTGAACTATCAAAGTCTTTTTACATGTTTGTATATTGGGGCATAGAAAATATTGTTTTAATTTTACAATGTACTTTTTTTTAGATCTGACCTTAAAAGAAACCAAAAGTAAAACCGAATATAAAATTTCATCAAGATATTGGGGGTATAAACTCTTGTACAAATCTTATAAATCATAAAATTGAGGTCATTTGAGAAGATGGCTTAAGTTTGATCACCATTATTCTAAAAGAATATTTTGCTTTGCGGCATTACAATTTGCGACAGTTTACCCTTCCACATTTTAAGGTCCTCATTAAATCACTTTCTGTGACTTTTCTAAGGTGTGCTTTAGGTGCTCGTGCTCAATTGAGTGGCTTTCTGCGCAAGGCCTGACCATGCAAAATCTATTTTGACGAATTAATTTCCACCACTGGAGCACTTTCTCAACTTCAAAAGATTGGTATACTTCATAATTTTCAACCCTGTAACATGTCATTTTTAAAATTCTAGACATAGACTGGAGTGAATATTTTTTAAAAAGACCTGTCTTTAGGCCGTTAAAGATCTAGGCTTAAAAACCTAAATCTGTAGAAATATTAACATCTTACCAAACAGCAATCTCATGACACCAAGAGATGCAGGATCTTGTGCTTCATATAACTTTGACAACATTTTTACAAAAAGTCAGTTTCTAGCTGTTAACAACGGCTTTACTGCTTAACTGCAATCAGATCTAAAGAAAAGGGCAATAGACAAATCAACTCAAACAAAGCAGGTGGCTCTTAAAACTACAATTTGTCCTTGCAGATGAATAAATCAAGCTATTTTGTCTCAAACTTTCTTAAAAGCAAGTCAGTAACAACTCAAACTTAATAACCTATAATTACAATTTAACTTCCATGAGAGTTATTGCACTTTTCCTTTTACCTGTTGTATCCAAACAGACATCTTCCAGTGCTAGAGAAATATGATGCTATGGTCAGTGTTAACCAAGAAATAAGATCATATTGAATTGGTACTATCACAGTGTGGTTTTCTATAGTCTGTCATTTGATGCTGTTTGAAACATACATGCAATTTGAAACCACTGAATTGATTGCTTCCAAAATAGAGTCCAGAAAGCATTTATTTCAAGTACAAGGCAGTCAGAGTGACCCCAAGGAACATTTATTTCAAGACACAGCTGGGAATAGACTGACCCCAGGAATAGCATGAGATCTATAGCCCTCCCCCTCCCAAGATAATTTTATTTTAAATACCCTTTATAAATGTATATTAAAGACCTTTAGTTGCATTTAAAAGAAAACCAAGGAGTGGATTAATACTCTGAAAGTTTGGCTTAAAAGAAACAGGTTGCTAGTGCACTCTACACAAAGTACCTTTAAAATCACAAGAGAAAACATTCTTAATTTCTGGAAGAGGGTCCAGGGAAACTATTTTAGAAAACCTAAGCATAATAGTCTTTACTGATTTGGGAAAGATTTTGCAAAACAAATTATAGATTTTTAAGAATGGTTGTCGTTTTGTGAAGTTTTACAGATTTTCAACAACAAAATTTAACATAAAATTAATATAATTTAGTTATACAGCGACTTCTATAAGGCCATAATGATAACGAACTGTGATCAGAAATAAATTTATGATTGGAGCGTTTATGCTGAACACGACAAAAATCCTTTGTAGCCAATTCTTCCAGAGCAGCCTAGGTATTAGGATAAGAGCAAGAGTTGCTTACTTTTATTGAAAACTAGAGAATCAAGTCTTACCCTCAAGCTGTTGCAGCTGTCGTTTGTTCAGTTTGATGATGGAGGGTCAAGTCCTCTCGTATATTTACATCTAACCTCTTTTTCAAGTTTATCACCCATCTTGGCTCCCTGTGGTCCTGCTGAAAAGGGCGTGACCGAAACATTGAAACCACGCCCTCTAGAACGCCGGAAAACGCTCCTTTTAGAAAAAACTGGCTTATTTCTACTGGAGTTTTATAAACAATCTGGTTCAGAGTAGATATCAATAGCTATAAAAATAGATAAAATCAGCTTGGGGATAATACAACATCAAGAAAAACACCTAGAAAATGAACAAAGAGGGTTCCCAGTCAAGAAAAACTGCTACTACTTAGGAGTTTACTATCCAATATTGCGTTAGAGCATGGTTAGAGTAAACTTTCCAAAAAGATCTATTATTGCAAAAAATGGAGGGGCTATAGCCCCTGTTAGCCAAATGGCTGCGCGGTGCATAGTTGCAGGTTTCATTTCCCATTCTTTATTTGCCAACAAATTGGTGGCTGTATGGCTAACAGCAGGGCCGTAGCTACACGTTGGGAGGGGGTGCAGGGGGCGCGGCACCCCCTGACCAGATCACAGTCAAGAAATCAAGTAAAAAATTATATTCATTCGGCAAATGAGAACCGCCTGAAGTAGGTAAAAACAGTTTTCCTGCGTTACGTCACAATACCAAGCTCGTTTACGTGAATTTTGCTAAGCATTTGGTGAAAAAAGAACATGAAAGCAACAAGGAATGCTTGCCATGAAGCAAAAGTATTGCACCACCCATCACAAAATGGCAGCACCGCCGCAAAAATTTTTATAGCAAACCAAAATTCAAATAGCTATAAAAAGTTAAATAAAAGTTTAAAGATGACTGCTAGGGTGGAAAATTAATAAAAAATTTGCCAATTTCCTCTATACCGCATTTCCTCCAAGAACGCCGCCCTCTGTTGAACGCTGCACCTTCAGCCAACCAATTGGAAAAACGCCGCCCTCTGATAAATGCCGCCCTCTATTCAACACCGCATCTTGAAAAATGGCGTTCATTAGAAAACACACCAAACAAGAGGTAAGGATGTCATTTGATAGGGACGAGGGCTCTGACGAAGACAGTGATATTGACTTCCATTGACATTTCCATAACGTGAACGTTAAAAAGTTTTTCACACAAGAAAACATTGTTTAAAGTCTGTTTAAATCTTTTTCATCGCACTTTTCTTGTCATTTTTAATTTAACAAACCTTTCATATTGTATTATTAAACGCCGCCCTCTATCGAACGCCGCTTCAAAAATTTGGATTTTGTAATAAATCCCGCGGCGTTCTTTGGAGGAAATACGGAACGTCATAACATTGGCACCATACCACAGGGAACTGAGGCGGTATGAGCTTGGAAAGTTTTCACAGAAGATGGCCTAAGTAAGAGGCCCCTTGCCAGTACCAAAAACCTTGAGGTGTCGTCTATATTACTCGGTGGTTATCAGTTTAGCATTGCTGAGGTAAAAACCAGAGGTTTTTTTGCCATTAAAATTGTTTAATTGAACCTGTTGTTGAATAAGAATGCTTCAATGCTGACCTAAATTTATTGGACTGGCTTGCAAATTGTAGCCTTTTTGAAAAAATACACTCCCACCCCCCTCAGGCAATGTTTACATGCTTTTTTCTAACCATTTTGATAGCTGGTACTTGGGTATTTTCCAAAAAACTAACATAGCTGCAGGGGCGGGGGTTTTGATAACATTTTCGGGGAAAAATTGCAATCTTGATGGTTTTTTCTCCAGTCCACTAAAACCTTTTGGCCATGGCCAGAATTGCAGATATGTGCAAAAATAAATTTTGGAATTCATCTTGTAAAGTATTCTTTGCAATTTCAACAAACTTTTGTCATAATAACATTCTCTGATCCAGGCAATTTTCATCTTCACATTTGGCAAAAAAGGATCATAGAATTGGAATCTTAATGTTGAAATTAATCTGTGCTGAAATTTCAAGTTGTTCAGGCAATCAGACAGCAAATTAACCAAGCTTTCCCTTTACATTTCAATGGAATTTTTTGCTGTAGTGAAATTTTTTCACTGCAGCCTCAAATTACTGTCAAATCTAAATAAATATATATGTAAATTTTCAAATTGAAGTAACTTGCAACTGAACAGTCAAAGCAACATGAATTTTTCAGTATAAACTAATTTAAAGATGAAGATTTCTATTCTGAAGTCAATTTTTGAGAAAGATTTGTAGATAGCCAGATACAAAATTGGTGACATCAACTTGGAACGGAGAATATCCATCATCTATGTAGCACTGTACCGGATTTCAGTAACAATGTACATTATATATCTAGGTGATTGTGAATAAGAAAGTTAGTAAAATGTGGGGATAAATTTGGGGTTCCATCTACATGAAAGTCTCAAGGGGTTGGTGGATCCAAAAAAGTTGTAAACTGCTGTTTTGAACTTTCAGAGACAAGTAAAATGTCACTTGCATTGCTACATAATATTTTGAAAATATCTGTCTTGAGGCTTTTACATGTTATTTTACCTGCAGAAAATAAATATGGCAATGAAGCAGCTTGTTGAGGGAGAATGTGGGGGAGCTAATCCTCTCATGAAAATAACATCACATTTTACTCAAGACAAAGCAAGGCAACAGGTAAAATCTTGTAGTTTTATTTGTTTCTTTTCTCTTGAAGATTGCGTTTTTACTTTGTACAATCATTACAACCAGTTCTCATTTTTTGTTGAAGAATGATTAGAAAATCGAAGAATTCGTATCTCTATGATTTATGCTGAACTTTGTTTCTGAAATATCATACTTTTTCTTTAGGATAGAGTTCACAGAGATCAACAAAGATTTGGGGTGAGCATATATATGAGTTTTCTTCAAGGTTATACAAGAAAAGATCAACCATTTAAATATATCAGGTTGTAAAGCCATATTATTCAAACAAGCTCAATTAAATGAATGATCTGATGCAACTGCTAACATTAAACTATTGATTATCAAACAACCTTTTCATTTACATTTCTTTTGTATTTGTTTTATGCAATGTAGTCTTTATCAGATATTTTTGCTTCTCAGATTAACATCGCATTGAACCTGTACAAATCATTTCACATCTGATGGTAGCCTATTGTCCAGTGAAAAAAGTTGTCTGAAACAGAAGAATGACAAGAAAGATGCAAGAGCATCATGTGCAGAATTTTTTGACTCCAATTTTAGCCTGCAAAAACCCATACCACAAGCACTCATACCTGTCACAATTTTTGTTCAATTCTTGAAAAGGCACATGTGATACGTTCATGTGAATGGGAACGTGTGGATTTTTTTCTTCACAAATTTGGAAAATATTAAAATTTCAATGCTTGTAAACCATTTGCAGGACCAAGTGCTTTGATTCTAAACTGGAAAAAGGACAGTTATTTAAAAGACATTATTCTCTTATCTCTTACCTCTTTGCCCCTTGTGGTAAAAGTTTGTCTGATGATGCCTTACCCATGGGGTTTCATTTAATGTATTTGCTGTATTCTGCAGGTTTATCAAATATGTTTATCTGCATATATTATCTACAGACCATGATGCCTTGTAGTCCCCTCTGTTGTGAAGGCCCCATCTTATCACAAGGCTGTACCTGAGTGCATATGATTGTTTCAATGAGGCAGCAAAAACCCTGACAAAGAGGCAAAATTCTGTTTTTCTATGGCAATTAATCTTTTTTTTTTTTTTAATTGGTTTACAGCAAAATCATTTCCATGAAACACCAGAGGAAGAGGTTGGTAATGCTGATTTGATATGAAGGGCTACTTAAAAATTGTTGGGTGGAAGAGCATGTGCAATACGTAGTTGGCAGAAAATCCTTGTAAAAAACCATAGCTCAATGTTATATATTACTTTTAAACAATATTTTGAAGCTAATGATATTTTAACAGTTAACTAAATACGTTTATCAAATATAGAATGAAAAGGGTGTGGTATAACGACTTTCAATGATCTCAAAGAAATGCTTGTCACAGCAAAGAGTTTGAAAATAGAGCTTATTTTGTTTATTTTTTTATAGAGCTTAAGAGTTTATTTTCAAAAACAATCTTTAAAATGCTTAGCAAACATCCTTGGGGATTCATTTTACATGCTCTTTTTTCTGTTCTTAAAGTAAGGATCCAAATAAAAAATAATCAAAGTTATTTATGGAATTTTAGAATAAGTGGTGCTTATTTTTTAGCTTGTAAGGGAATATTTTCAAGGACCAAGATACGATGCAGCACCACAATCTTTTCGGATGGACCGCCTGCTTGATGAGATGCAGGGGATTGAGCAGTTATCTGAATTTCCCCCAACAATTCCTGCTTTCCAAGGTAAATTCATAACCCAGGTCAATGTATGTAGTTAGAATTTGGTAGGTGAACTGATGAGTAAAGTTTGTTAAATTTTTGAAAGCCTGATTTATCAAATTTTTGCAAAAGCAAGAATTATTTTAGAAAAGATGCTCAATTTTTTTTTAAATAACCATCGCCTTTTGCTTCGAATTTTATTTAAAAGTGTTATCTTCTAGACGCAAAATCCGAGGCTTGGGCATCAGAATATCTGTCTTCACATTCAAACCAGGATGATGGTAAAGTTTTAATTTATTACTGAATTATAATGTATCAGCGGAGCTATATTTGCACCTTTAAGAAGGCAAGTTAGGAATTTTTAATTGCATTAGGTAGCTTGTGAACTACTGGACACTGGCATACCTACTTGAGAAGGAATAAGAAGATAATCACATGATATGGGAAAAAATAAAGAAATTAGTGTTACGTAAAGTCATGAATGCCATTACCCTTTTTGCAAAAGGAAAGTTGCCATTAATTTTTTAGCATCCGTTAAATAAGTTACCATTCGAATACATTAAATGCTAAGAAATTCACAGATTGTTTCCGTTAAACATAGATATGATGGCTCTTTCAACTTCTGAGTAATTAACTTCGTTGATTGCTGTTCGAAAGAAGGGCGTAACAAACTTCATCGATACATGAATAAGGTGTAAGAAGCAGAAAGTAATGAAAAATAGAGGCATGAATATAGAAGAAAAACACATTCCAAAGGTGGCTGTAGACAGGGAGAAAACCAGCCTAGCAAACGGTTACTTTGCATTTCATGTAAACAAGGGTGCATAAAACACCACAAAAATTGTAAAAAAACCAAGACGCATGTTAATGGGATTCTCATATTTCTATCAATAGAGTTCTTAACGTTTTCGATGATTGGGATCATGAACGCTATTAAATAACTCGGAAGGTGTGAAATCAACTTAGTTTGTTAGAAAATCGGGTGGGATACGACCAGTGAAAGCTTTGATCTCTGTTAACAACTTAGTGTTATTTAGGCCTGGTTTGTACAAAGATACAAATTTTATCAATAAAGATACAAGCTTAAAAAAGATACAAATTTTATGGGGAACGATCCTGAGGTCATGTGACCATATCTCAACCAACATGCAACTCATCTAGTTGATTAGGAACATTTAAGGGCAATTCGTAATTAGGTTAAAGGCTATATGATCAAAACTCAAATTATCTAAAATTATTTTATGGCGTTATTAGTATAGAATATGGCTTTACGAACTTCAAACCGCATTTTCGCTTGCAGTTTCTAGCTCTTGGATCGATGAATACTCAAGGCATACGGTAGCAGATGAACATTCGCAGATGAAACTCGGCTCAACAAGTTCAAGATGGGCGGAAGAATACCTGGAAAGTGCAATGTAAGTTTGATTAAAAGAGCTAGTCTTTCAAAAGACGATATTATATTGAGCTAATAGATTGAGTTCCAGAATGAAATAAATTAATTTTGATAGTTAAAAAACGACGTTTCTAGCATGTACTCGTTATCAAGTGACTTGTATTTTGGACTTGATAACGAGTACATGCTCGAAACGGCGGGTTTTTAACAAGATGTTAATACACGCGAGAGAAAAAGAACGTTGAAATGTGGTCTCCTTTATAACAGGTCTCATTACCATATGAATATTTCCCCAGCTAATCAGTTTGGGAAAGCTTTCCTCACCCTGTCTTACAGTAATCCCCCTGTTTCGTTGTCAGTTTCACGGTTGTTGTTTTTGTAAGCATGCGATAAAAGCCTTGCGCTACAAATGTGTACGTAATTTCCTCATTTGCTTCGGCCAGCGTTTTATAAAGTCGTGACTTTCTTCGCAAGATACTGCTCTCGTATTGCTTGTTGAATAATCTTTGGTTGTAAACACAAAACATTGAAAATATTTTTAAAACATTGATTTCGAGCCTCGTTTCGGAACTATGCGCTATTGTTAGTATTAGAAGCTACATATTAGAAGAACCCAATTCACTGCTTTTTATGAGACCCCCGTTTTGTTGACGAAAGATATTGTGTGATATTATTTTACTGTTCCTTGACCCTCTGAAGCACCTGTCATACCCCACAGAAACATCTTGCGAAATACTCTTATTAAAAGATGTACGTCAGCAATTAAGGAATGTACGTCAGTGATTATTTTGTTTGTCGTAATATGTTGATGTGGGATGATAAAAAAGCTGGTCCAGATTTACATTACTTGTATAATATAAATTTTTTTGTGAGTTGCTACGCGTGAACAGAGCAGGACGCAATGTTGTGAGCGAATGATAAGTCTGATCTACGTATTCACCTTCAAAAGGGTGGAATCTTTTCGATTGCAAGTTAGATATAACTGTTGTTTTGACTAGATAGTCTTTTGAATGTGCGTCAGACCACACTGCGAAGCTTTTATGCCAAAACTTTACGTTTGTGAGACGTTAAGTATGGATGTCATTTGTCAAATCTATCTCCGAAACCCTTTGTATAAATAGTTTAGATATATATATTTCCAAATATATAAACTTATTCTTTTAAATAGATATATTTTTGTATATCATCTAGTAATGCAGTAAAAACCCGCTTGTAAGAACCTACTTTTTTCAGAGTTTCGCAAAAATAGGTTCTTGTATTATGGAGTACTTATTGACAGTTTAGGCTAAATAGGTTCTTAATTAGGTTCTTAATTTGAACAGAGCAGATTTTGTTGTTGATTATCAGAAAATAACATTAAATCTGGCCTGTTCTTTATTCTAAATAATTATTAGTGTACCAATGTTGCCAAATGTCCACCAACAATTGATCAATGAAACAATACTGTACATAAAATAGTAACAATATTTGTTTCATAATAACAGTTCAAATTTAATATACATGTTGCTCTTCGAGTTTTTATTTTAACGATTCAATATTCTGTCTTTTTTTTGTTTTTGGTAAAAAAGTATTAAATGGCGAGACCCCACATATAAGAACCTGTTGGAAATTGTTTGGCTAAACAAGTTCTTCCATTTTCGAGTATTAATAAAGCGAATTTCTGCCAGAAGGTTCTGAAATCTCTAGGTTTTTACATGCAGGTTTTTACTGTATATCATATCTAGTAAATATGTTGAAATATGTTTTGAACGTGTAGTTTTGTTTAATTTGTTGGCGAACCAGGTTGGCGAACCATTTTGAGAGAGTAACTGAGATAACGCTGTATCTGTTTACAGATATGAAAAATATTGTTTTCTTTCTCATCTTATTGCGTGGATTAATTTTGTAATCTTCATGAAGTAAAGAAGATTATGGTTCGTATGATTTTGATTACTTGTTTTGTCGTTTTGTATTTTTTGGTTTTCTTTCAAAAGGTTTCTTTTGTAGTACGAAAGACGATAGACATGCAACTGCTAAGGAGATCCTTGATAAAGTTGATGACGATAATCTACGTAAGACAGAGGTATGATATTTGTTTACTTCTAACTCTGATTTCATCTCGACTTCATGAGAAAAAGTTTTGTATTGAATTTGTTTTAGCATAAAAAAATATTGTTTTTAGGATACTGTGAAACTATGATTATAAAACTGTGTTCCGGTCTTTTCTCTTAATGTAATCACACCTCGTGTTTTCTGCGCCTGGGATTAAAGACCCATTAAAGACCAATCGTAACCTTCTACACTCTAGGTGCAGGTTTGATGATGGCATGGAGTCTAACCTAAGATTTTTGGCTCTATGTTCTGTGACCCCAGCCAGTTAACTATCCTCGAACCTATTCAATTGTTTATGGAAAATGAAATTTCAGATATAAACAGTCATTAGAACTTTATTCTTACACACAAAGGGCTGTTTAACTTTCTGTGTAAGAATAAAGTTGTTATGCATTTCACCGTGGCTTTTGCAAGGGCACCCTGTTTTACCTTCCTTTGTTGACAGAATTGAGATATAGCCATTTTTCATATAAAACTGATTTTTGTGTTGTTTTATGATAATTGCGAGGGTACGAAATTTCAATATTATGTTTGGGCATAAGTAGCGCAGTTAAGATTGACTTCACACGCTAAGCATAAAGGAACTAAAATATGATGCATACGGAAGGCAATATTTGCTTTCTATTAACCAACAGGATGCCGTTTCCATCATGTTTATCGCTGAATCTTGATGAAAATCAACTAAAGATTGAAAAATCGCGATTGCAGCTGTTGTTGTCGATGTTATATTTGTTGGAACTCTTTTTTAAGGAACCTGATGTCGGTGATGACTGGGCAAAAGAATACGAAACTCAGCACACAGCTGTAGACGAAGACGCACAGAAATGGATTGATGAGTACGCGCTAACTGAGGTTCGTTATTACGCCAGAAGTACTTTCGGTTGCTGGGTTGTTGTCTACAAGGCGCTAACTATACTTAAGAAATATTGTACCAAACTTTTCTCCATTGTTTTGAGGTGTTTCAAACAAACCTCTAAAAATTCTAATTCAAATTTTTATACTGTATCGAAATAATCCTTATTGGAGAAAACGCCAAAATTATTGGTCCATTCCATATATATTGTATTTATGTAAACTATCGTGAAAACTGCTGAAGAAATGCTTGTATGGATTCAGCCGCTCTGTGATTTGATTGGCTTAGACCAAGCTACTTGTCCGTTGATTGGTTTAGACCCTCACAGCATGCCTCTTGTAAGGATCGAGGTACAGACCCTCACAGCATGCCTATTGTAAGGACACACTGAAGGTGTCAGAAGGTGTTCATTAAGAGAGACCTCTTGTAAAGTCATTTCAGAAGTTTTCAAATTTAATAGAATTGAAATACAGGGTAGAAGGCTCATGCTTTGTCAAGATTTTGATGTATTAAAATGATTTGCGCTGTCTTCGCTGTCGTTAGTTTGCCTTATCCGACGTGGTTATTTTTAATTCTAGATCACCTTTAAAACCCAATCTAAATTTGTTATAACTCTGAATTCGTAGCTACCTCTGTGTCGTAATAGAGTACCTGTGTCGTAAGATATATTTTTAGAATTTCTTAATTTTGACCACATAATCTGAAAGAACGGCATAAAATGCCTCTCAATGTGCAAAATCAGTTAAATATATTCAAAATTAGGCGAGATATGGCCAATGAAAGATTTCAAGTTTGCTAACGAATTACTGTTATTCTGGCCTTGTTCATAAAGTTGTGAACCAAGACGAAATTACAGAGGTTTGATAGGTCAAGAGCCTGTGCTCATGTGGCCATTTCTTCTCAAATTTGTAGCCCATTCTACTGATTATGCATATTTAGAGGTATTTCATGATGCTCTTTCAGGTTATGGGATCAAAAGTGAAAAATTCTAAAATAGATTTTTGTTACGTCATCACTTCGGTGCTCTATAGATATAATGCCATGAATATGCATAATTAAGGATATAAAGCTCTAAGCAGATTATTTAAAATTGTTACGAATAAGAATGAGAAAATTCCCCAGTTTCCTAATTCTAGAAACGAGAAGGACGCTTTTATTATTTTCAAGACAGTGATTTTCCGGCTTTTTCCGGCTTTTTTTGAAGCGTATAACTGTCAATGAAATTTAGTGAATATTTATTTGTCAATAAGATGAAAATTTCGGCGCCATGTAATGTTTAAGGCTGAGCTTGGTTAGATTTGTTTTTAACCTTTATTCTCTTCAGTTACATCTTTGCTGTTTTTATTTCTAGAATGAAACAGATTATTGGCGAAAATTACAACAGGAGTGGGACGATATATCAAGGTAACAATAAGTGATAATTATGATAATATTATGATAACATTATGATAATATTTTGGCGCAATATTATGATAAAAACATGTTTAACGATGAAAAAATAACAATCTATCATATATACTTAGAATGTTAATATTTATATCTTTATTTTCATTCTCTCACTATCAATATTTGAAGCCTAACAGAGATGAAATTTTGAACATGTAAACAAAAGATCGTTTAAAAAATTGAAATTCTCTAGAATCCCCCCCCCCCCAGCCAATGTTAATGTTGAAATCTTGAAAAACATACCTTCCATATTTGTAGACGAGAATTTTGGGTAAAGCCAGTCACACTTCTTTCAAGATAATCAGAAGCTCGGTTTTGCTGTTGAAAATATTAACATAATTATTTTATCATTTTTATATCTGTCCATACAGTAACGATTTTAATGACGAATATCCTTGGTTGAAGCAATATGGCGATGAACAGAAAAAGGTATCTTTTGTCATTTACATATTGCACAGGCCAAGTCAACTCGTATTGTTTTTATCTATGTTCTGACGTTTTATACTCTGAAGGATGTCAGATGAAAAGCTTTATTACTACCCAAAATTTTTGTTTTTTTCAAAACCGTTTTTAAATTTTGTATCAAGAAAAGATTGTTTCCTTAAGGTTTATTTTATGCCTCCGAAAAGTCTGAATTTTTGATAAGGCTTGGACTATTCTGAATCTTCATCGTATCCTAAAGGGTAAAAGTGGTACATCTTGCTGTTTCACAAAGTTCTGGTGTATTACTAAACGGAAAGATGAAATAAAATATTTGGTGACTTGAAACCTAGCCAGTTTCGAGATGTCTTAGGCTAAATGTGATCTGTGCACTATTTTAGCATAATAAGAAAAGTTCAAGACAAATCTGAGTTAATCAGAAAATAGCCTAATTCCATTGTTTAGCTTAAGGAACTCATGTTTATTTCGAAAAACAGTTCGTTTTTCTTCCTCTATGCTTAAGAACTCGGACTTTCTTTGAATGCTATGATGACACAAGAATTTGGTTAGAAGGCGGCAACAGGTGAAAGTCCGCCGCTTACTCACCAAACATTCGCCGCCTACTTTCACCCTCACTTTAGTGAGACTGTACAAACTTTAGTAAACTTGAAAACGCCTACGTCTAAATGTGGGCCTTCAACTTCAACAGTTAATGAAAACCCTGATGATATAATCTATGTACGTAAATATTAGTTTGTAAAATTGTGAAACTTCTCTTTACAGGAATACACTTTTGAAGAAGAAAATCCATTCAAAGATTATCCAAATGCTTTTGAAGAAGGTTTGGTGAGACTCAAGGAAGGCGATCTTATTAGTGCAATTTTGCTGTTTGAAGAGGCTGTAAGAGTCAATATTTTCTTGGTTTTTAACTTTCATCATATTCTATGTTGTCACAGCTTTAGGCTATTTGACAACACAGCGGCATCGCGTGATATTCCGAAGATCAGGTCTGATAATTCTGGAGATTGGATGCAGTATTATGCAAATTCAACTCGCCTTGATCTGACACATACGATATTTGCCAAATGTCATATTGCTAGAGTGTTTTTTGAGAAAATTAACGGTACCTATAATAAGAAGCGGTATCGCACTTCTCTCCTCCGAAAAATATTGGTTATGGGATTGGCTACCCTATGTATTTGGATGTATTTATCGTAACCCTCTATCGTATTATATAGACAAAATTGAAGCTATTAAAATAAATATAAATAGCAGCATTCGAAGAGGAAGAGGGGAATACAATATTTACAATTTTACAGTTATCATTCCAAGACTTTTTACAAGCATCCTTGCCGATAAAGCCAACAAGATTTTGTCCGTATTTAGCACTTCACTGAGACAATTTGTAGTTATAATTGTTTTCTGCTGTAAGTAATGAATCAGATAGTATCTTAATATGGCTAATGTAGTATTTATAATCTTAGTTCGATGTTGAATTTGGGTTTTCCTCAAGCACCGAAATATTATTGTACTTTCTTCTTTTGCAGGTTCGTGTGGATCCAGAACATGCGGAGGTTTGTTGCGGACATTTCTGCTTACGTTGTTGTTTCTAAATTCTGATGAACAGTGATGATGAGAAATCACAGGGAATAATTGAGATTCGGATATAATTTCTCATAATCCTCTTGATCTTTCATGCAAGCATTAGTATTATTTAAAAAATTGTTTAACAAAAGCATTTGTTGATAACACAATGCTTGAGGGAAATGAGCAATTGCCATGCAAATAATTTTTGATCGTGCAAAATTTGTAACTGGCCCAAAAAAGGCAAACACTTTGAAACATACTGAGGCTTTCCTTTTGACACACTTCAGTGTATGAAACATCAGTCTAATGCTCGAAATTTTTTAAGCTCAAGCGTTTAAGCAGCATATGAATGGCGCACATTCGGCCTTTCCTTCTACCTACAATCAAAACTTAACTCTTTACAATCAGGATCACGCTGTCCACTACAATCATCGAAGTAATCATTATAACTGCAATGTCTACAGTTTGATTAATTGTTCAAGTTTCTCATTCAAACATCAAGCATGTTCTTATGTAACATCGAAGCGCCTGTTTCCAGGGCTGCAATCGTTACCAGACGACCGTAATGAAAACCGAAAAATTCGAAAATTGAAGTCTTTGCATTTTTTGATTGAAATTATGATCAAATTTTTGACTTCTTTAAGATGATATAAAAAACAGAAATTAATGTTGTTAAAGGGACAAAAATTTTTTTGGCTCAATTTCACATAAAGAAATACCCTTGGCAGCTATACGCATCCCACACTGATCCTTATGTTTGTTACACCCCACATGTACTTATAAGCTGCCATTCTTACTCCAGCTCATCTTCTAAATCCATCATCAGATCTGACTTATCCCTCATTTTGAAACTGTTTTTTCTTGCATTGTGTAACTCCCCCACCCCTGATACTGTGACGATCGTAACAATGAATCCTGTTGTTTCCATTTATTTTGTTGTTCCTTGTCTTTCGCTACAGCCATGTAAACTAGCTAATGGAAAACATCTTATTGAATAACATGTAGGCTTGGCAGTATCTCGGCACGAGTCAGGCTGAAAATGAACAGGAACCGCTGGCTATAAGTGCCCTTAACAGGTAAGAATTGACAGCATCTATCGTGTCATAATTTCTGGAGACTATTCAGGTTAGCTTTCATTAAAATGCACGGAAAGTGGCTATTATAACATATAACATAACTCTTCAACATTGCGATCTTGTACATTCGTTAAATTGTTTATAGCTCTGGTAACATTTTTGTTTCTAGATTTAAGAACATCTGCATTGTTAGGCCAAATAACAAAGCGGCTCAATACTTTCGTTTTCTCGGGAAATTTTTTACGGAATTTATTGCTAGACTTCACTTGAACACTTCTTTTATTCAGAACATTGGACTTTTTGCTTAATATCTTTTCTCTGCAATTATTGACCCTTTGCAATCATGGCTTATGTCTGTAATTAGTTTAATGAACTTTGGCAGGGAGAAACCATTCAATTTGTTTTCTCAAGCAGAAATTGGAAGCAAACAATCTTTAATAGATACTGAGAGTACAGTAAACAACGTGGCCACATTTTTCTGTAGCTAAAGTATATTGATTCATGCAAATAATTTATCATTGGTTTTCTATGATGATTTCACCATCCGCTCTTCGAATGTTTTACATGAAAAATCCTCGTTGAATATTTGGGATGAGTGCCCATATGCTAGGTCGCCGCAAAGATTATTTATGGGCTCTAGTTATTGCCTGTCTATAAGGTTGTAGGGTAGCTACAGTGATTGCTTCTCCAAGGTAGATTTCACAGCTGGGCTGACTTTGCCACCTGTTGAACCTTTATCATACGAAAGAAACCATAGAGCATTGTAGCATCCAGATATATCTAGTTTACCCTCGCAGTCCAGTAATCATTTAAAGAGAGTTCAGTAGAAAGAAGTCCTATCTCTCAACTAGGGTGGCACCGGTTGTAGGGTAACCCCGGCATGCTTGTAGACACGCTCATGAGAATAAAAGGAATGAGCCTGCTCTGCAAGGGGAACCCTTCTACAAAAGTACCCCTTGCAAGAGGGTAATCCTACCTCTTTATTAGGCCCTCAACTTCAATTGATCATTCTTAGATGCTGTGAGCTGCAACCTCATAATCTTGTGGCAAGAATGGCTTTGGCTGTCAGTTATACCAACGAATCATTACAGCTCCAGGTATCTTATTTTTCAAATATTCCTGGCTTCTCTGCAGCTGAATGTATCAACTTGTATTTTCCAATCAAACAGATAGACTGTACATATATCGTCAATGACAAAACTTAGATTCCTAGTGCCCTATTATTTTCACTGTATTTCCAACTCTCGTAATCACACCCACACCACAGTTGGCAAATCAATGGTGATTATAAGTTCCTTTAAAGGGGATTTCGATCTTTGGACAACACTGTAAAACAGTGGTATAATATAGTGTGAAACTGTGCGATGTGAAACTGATATAATGTGATGTGAAATATAGTGTGATGTGTGAAATTGATGCTCAAAAGCCAGACAACATATGAAGAGGTAGACCCGCTCCTTCTATGGTTTCCTAGAAAAATACCACACATTTCTTTTTTCTGATCTGTGAAGAACTGGAAGTTCGAAAAAGCAAAACTGAGAAAAGCTGTTATATTTTGAGGAAAGCTGTTCATTGCAAAAAGAAATTCCGCAAAATTAAGGGGAAAATTCTGATCCGCAGCAATTTTTTCCCCAGAACAAGATATTTATGCGGTACTCAATCGCAAAAATTTCTTCCGCAAAAATTTCTTTTGCATGTAATTTTATCCTTGAAGGTTAATTAAACTTTAGATTTGCCAAAGTCTGGAAGATGCGGATTTCATGCATGTGACATGTGTATTTAGTGCAACACAATGGTTTGCATATAGGCATAGGTACAATGTTAGCTTAGGCCTTGTTCCTTTTAGTCCGTTTTCCTGCATTGGTACAATATTAGCTCAGGCCTTGTTCCTTTTACTCCGTTTTCTTATGTCTCCGTTTTCGTATTTTCTTGAATTTTTCCCATTTCGCTGGGCTACTCCGTTTTTGTCTAGAGATTCTGACACGAAAACGAAGGTGTTCCTTTTTCGTCCGTTTTCATATACTTTGTTTGGACTCGTTTTGAATCTGAGGATGATTGAATTTGTTTACGAATGAATCCGTTTTTGCTGTTCCCATTAACACGATTCCTTTCCAAATGATTGCTTATTCGAATGACTCCATATAGAATTTCGTTATCAACAACTCTGGCTTGGTGTCAAACGACGCAAAGTCAGGAACAGATTAATTCATTCTTTGTAACACGAAGTGATAGGAGCACGGCCTTAATGTGGTCTTTGCTCCTAACCTCCAGCATATTCTGCACGCAAAAGGACGACTACACTTTGCTGTCGTCTATCTATTATCTTATATTATCTAAGCCACTCTCCTTTATGAAACCTTTTTTTAAAAGTATTAATTCTATCTATTGAATGCTACTTCCAGGCCTGCGAGTCACTCAAAGATTGGTTACGTTACCATCCCAAGTAAGTGCAAATGTTTTAGAAACTGCTTTCTGGTTTTCGTACATTTCTTTGTATTCTGATATTGCTTCGTTATTTCTTTATATCGGTGCAGACTCAAAAGGATTTTATTAAATTGATTTTGATGATTACATTGCATTTGTTGCTATGAAGAAACCAATTTTCTTGTTTCAGGAAATGGATTGAACAAAGACAAGTCACATTTAAATTAACTAGTAGGAAAAGAGTGATCTCTCTATGGAATATAATGATCCGGAAATAGTATTGCCTTCTCTTCAAGAGGTAAACTAAAAATTTATCAGCACGTTGTTTTGTTCTCACAGGTACAAAATACTAGTCCCAGCGGAGATAGGCGCGCAGAAGCCCAACGTCTCGTCTCTAATGACGAAAGAGACATTTGACAATGTGCATGATTTGTTCCTTGAAGCTGCCAGGTTGGCGCCAGATTCCGACATTGATGCTGATGTGCAGGTTTGTGTCGATTAACGTAACTACGAAGGAGGACACCTGAAAATGAAAGATTTTTAGGTGTCCTAGAAAAATTGTCACAAATATGTATCAAAAAACCGGTTTAGATCTTTTGTATATGTCATGACTTCTGAGTCGACTATTCAAGTTAATTTTCTTATACTTTGTTTGTAAATTTTTGTATGGGATTTTTATCAACTAAGTCTAGAAAATGGTCATGCTTTCAAGGCATTATCAGTATTCGTACTGTATGAACCTTTTTGTCATCTTTTTTCTTTTCGATTTTATGTTACAAAGTCTCTGGTGTATTTCAACTGATAGATGAGTTTGAAGAAGTTGAAAAGGCACTTTTTTTATATATTTGTATCATCTTCAAGGTTGGTTTAGGCGTTCTGTTTAACCTGAATGGCGAATACGAGAAAGCAATCGATTGTTTTAACACTGGATTGCAGTCACGGCCTACTGACCCTTACATATGGAACAAATTAGGAGCAACGTTAGCAAACGGTGGTCGTAGCGAGGAGGCTGTGGAGGCCTACCGACATGCATTGCATTTGAATCCAGCTTATAACAGGGCTCGATACAATCTTGGCATCAGCTGTCTCAATCTTGGGGCTCATTTGGAAGCAGTTGAGCATTTCTTGACGGCGCTAAACATGCAAAGAAAAGTGAGTGCAGCTTCACATTGTTTGCTTACGTACTAAAAAGAAAAACATTTAGAGATGAAGTTTCCAAACCATTGGGCATTGTTGATTTGTTACGCTATTAAGAGAGGAAGATGTTGTTATGCTATTAAGAGCTAGAAGGCAGTGGATGTTGGGGGTGTAGAAATTTTAAGAGAATATTCCTAAGAGCCAACTCTTAAGCCAAAGAAAATTTTGGGGATAATTTTTCTATAAACATAAAAATAATCTTGAAATTTGTTAACGTCAGGTATAGAGCCGAAATAGAAGGTTGTCATGCAGAGTATACGAAACGCAGATTTTTTAAAAAAAAGATTTAATCAAGATAAAGTTGGCAATTTACAGTACTATAAAATGAAAGAAAAATTACGCTTCTGATTTTCAAATAGCATTGTCTAGACCAATCGTAAATTTTCTGTCTTGGACTCCAGTGATGATTTTTTGTAGGCACGCGATACTGATAGGACAACTTTACCGATCATGTGTTTGCATTTTTCTAATTGGCCTATTACGATCCACAGCTGGGTATATATTTTCCATCTAGTTCTTTCGGAACCTTATTCTTACCTTTTATACTCTGAGGAGTGGCTGACGAGAAAGCTTTTAGTCTGTGTCTTTTGTAAGATGTTTGCTTTTTGCAAAGCCTTTTTAAGATTTACCTCTTATTTTTAGGGCGAAAATCCATCAGGAGCAATCACAACAATGTCAGATAACATATGGTCAACTTTTCGAATGACAATTTCTTTACTAGGTAGGACTGAACTATTACCCTTAATCGAAAGTAGAGACTTAGAAAGACTTAACAGAGAGTTTAAGATGAATTGATAAAGATTAAATTAATATTATTAATATTTTCGAATAAATAGCTTTTGTAAAGTGTCATGTAATATATTTTCGTGACGTGTCTGTAATTAATTTAATGTTTCTTGCACCCTTTATCAAAGTTGCTTATACCGAATCTTTGTATGTAAGCCGACTGTTTTTTACTGTGTTGATCTGAGACTGAATCATTCAGGTACGTGATTCTTTTATAGACACTTAATCCTTGATTTGTTTTAGTTCGAAATAAATAAACTTGATCTAAACTTGGCGTTTTTATCAAAATACCTGATGAGCAGAAAATACAGCTTGCAGAAGTTTTGTCAAGCAAAAGGTGAATTCGATGGATAGTGATTCCGCTTCTGTGTAAACGGTTTCTGCCGCGCCAAATTAACGACATTGCTAGTTTCCATGATAAATAAGGTCAATTAGAATACCAGTTTGAAATGAATACCAAAATATTCCTTTGTATCTATGAAAGCAACAATTAGAAAACCACAACGGGTCTTGATGAAATGGGTATCCTTTTAAAGAGTGGCCCGGGGCCAACAACATTACGAAACCCTAATGACATAAGTTTTTTCGCTAGAAATGCAAGCCTCGAGTAAAAAGATAAAGACGGGTGAAAATGAGTCATCACTAATTTTAAGTATAACATTTAATTGAATATTGCATTTCAATGCGTATGTCAATAAACGATATTTCAAAATAAAACGGCAGCTCAAGTAAATAGAATTTAAGAATCAGTTGAGTTTAGCTAAATTGGAATACTTGTTTACTTGAGGTTATAATTGGTTTTACGCATGTAATAATTTGGCGTGCATCTGCTAAAGCAGGTTATCCCATATTCTATTGAATCGCTCATGCTTATTTACATTTTGTTGTAATTTTTGGTCTTTTGTTACAATTCAACTCGCTCACATGTTTAATAAAAGGATCTTGGATATTAGGGTATAATTTTGATCAAAATTCTGCCTCAAATTTGCATGTGATAGGTTCTAGATTGATTTTGTGTTTGTAAACAGTCAAATCTGTCTGCTCGTGGCTATCTTTAAGTAGCCAGCAGCCTGTAACTTAGGCCATGAAAAAATATATCTGTACTGTTTCTCCATCTCAATGTTTTTTAAGGCTATAAGTTTTGGAGAAAAATCATTACATGCTATTTGTTGCAAAGGTAGACACCACACAGGGGACTGAGTGCAAAGTATCTTCCTAGGGCAGTGGCTTTCCGCCAAATTGAGGGCGCATTTGATTTTGAATGAACGATCCAGAACTTGGGACGTGATTACCCTACTTTTTTCTTCATCACATTCAGCCTAGAAGCCATCACCATATGAAAGGGAGCATAAAAGCGAAGAGAATGGCGAGGGAGTGTAGTAATGTGAGAGGGATGGAACAAGTCACTTGTTTTTCGAGAATGGTAAAGGTTGTGAGAAGAAAGAGAAGGTAGAAGATGTAAACATAATGTTCAACACACGATAAACAAGAATTAGAAACGCTGGGCAACCAAACAAGAGATAATGATCTTGGACCCAAGTGGTAATTTTTCTTTAGGCTCGCGGCACTGATTGGTCAACTATACGGGTCTTGTGCTTGCGTTTTTCTGATTGGCCTATTTCCATCCACAACTGGGTATATATTTTTCATCGTGTTCTTTCGGACCCTATTCTGACATTTTATGTTCTGAGGAGAATCAGACGAAAAAGCTTTTTGTATGTTGTAAAATGTTTGCTTTTTTCAAAGCCATTTTCAAATGCTGTACCGCAAAAAAATTGTAAACAAGAGATAGAGAGAAGACCGATTTATAGATATCTTTTGAATCTTCCCAAATTGTCTTGTTGTACGGGCTTAATTAGCTGCTGCTTTTGAAAGGGGAAAATCGTCGAATGAAGTTTTTGATTTTTGAATTTGTTGCAATGAAACCTCTATTATCTCAAAAATGTCATTTTTCACCAATGTTTTGTGATCTATTGACTTTCTCATCATCCTCTTCTACCTCCTACACAAAAATATGGTATGGTAATAATCCGAAAACATAGCCAAAATAAAATTATGTTGAAGTATTTGATTGTTGGATACCATCTGCTGGTAAATGAAAAAAATTGTCCCTTAAGAATGTTGGTGGAAAAATTTCTCTCATTATTTATGCATAACCATTTAATAAGGAGAAATTTCCTGTAAAAAATAAAAGTGTATGGATAGAAGCTAATATTTCCTTATTTTACTATAAGTTTCAATTTCTGGAACTGTTCTTTTTATATTATGAGTGTATAGATACATGTTTCACGATTAATTCTGATTTGCAGGGTTCAATGTTTCCATATTCTCACATGTCTCCAGCAGATGTTATTACCAAGTTTTCATTTCTTTGCTAATCAATCTCCAATTTCTTGAAGGATATTAAAGAACAAAGTGGATGTTCTTTTTGGCTCGGATCACGCTTTGGTTCACAAGCAGTTATAACATACGCATCGCCAATTTTTACTGACGGTACATGTGTTATCGAAGAAGCTTCTGATCCACGTCCGCTTTCTGCGTGCCTTCTTACGTCATCTTCACGTTTGTTTCCCTTTTTGCAACGGCAAATTATCGCGGCTATTGAATGCCGGAATGTCGACATGCGAATAAAGGATACTAGCGGATTTATAGCGCTGTTCATTGATATGAAGATGAATTGTAAGTCTCGCAAAACATGGCGAAAGGTACAATCACAAGAATCGCAGAACTGAAGAATATACGCGCCTATAACTGGTGGCGTAGAGCATAGCAAAAAACCCCATGCTATGTAAAGAAATGTCTTTGTAATTATCTTTTCTTTTGATATTCTCCAATGCTCTCGTTGCTCCTTTTCGCTGTTCTCCTTGCTTTGATAGCGGAACTCCTTCCACTGGACTCTCAGGATTTTGTTTACTTGATGGTATGTACCAGATAGAACGATCAAAGTAAAGATGATGGCTACATGGCAGAACACCATCAGGTAACTAATAAAACCAACTTTAAAGTATATGCCGATCATTGCTAAAGAGAAGCCCCATATTATGCAAGAAATCAAAAGAAAATTCTTGAAGGCAAGGCTATTTCTATATCGTATAGGCCATCGTATGGCGATAAACCTGTCCAACGAGAGCATTGCAAGGCTAAGAAAACTGGCATTTGATGACATGAAGAATGTTGTGTGGAGCAAGAGCCGCTGATTATCAGGCACGAATCCACGCGCTTCATTAAGGTGTATAGCGACTGAGGTTGGCAAGGTAATCGACCCAACAATAAGATCACATAATGCTAGGTTCACGAGGAAGAAGCTGAATGGGGTCCTCAGCTTTTTTAACGGATCGAAGACGACTGCGATGATGATAAACGAATTTCCAATGCATACTGTCAAAGAGAGCACTATTGATACTGTTGCTGTGAAATATGACAACTGAACTGGCGCCCAGACTTCAGGAAAGCAAGACACCATTTTGTGAGATATCTTACCAGCTCCGCTTCCTTCTGTTCTTGCTACCTTACTGCATGCTTGCTACAGATCTTCTTTCGTTTGATCAACGAAGCGAAGATTTCAAGTATTTGATATATAAACAAACCAAAATTATTTTATTTCTAGTTTAAGGTGGAATTATTAATTTGTTTGACTGCTTTGTTTTTAGACTGCAGCTGGTAAAGCCAGCTGGAAAGAACTGCTCAAGGCGTACAAAGAAAGGAGAACAGGGATATGGAGCAGAAAAGTAGCGGCAAGCCAAAATGAGAGGTTTGTATGTTGTCGACTTCGATCTCGGTAGGGCTCCCTTGGAGTGACCCAGCAGCGAAAATAGCAGCACCAAATTAGTTACCGCTACAAAAATTGTTGCAGTTTTAAAGCCGCCCTTTGGGGTTTTGTATCAAACTTAGATATGTTTTAAAGTTTAGGTGACGTAAGGCACGGCTAGATGTAGAAACAAATTTGTAGAATATCTTCTAATACGTCGAAGATGCCTTTCTTGATTGTCTAAGATCTGTCATCGCGTGTTATTGTGCCAGTTGCTGTAGGGAAGTTTTTACCAAATACAACTTTTAAAAAAGTTAAAGGATTTCTTTAGGACAACGTCGTTTTCTTTCTAAGCACCTGTACGATCGTTGGTTGTGCGATCAGTGCCCATACCCTGTCCTGGCCTCCTCTTTTCATTCATCTCTGATAAAGCTAAAAGAAGCTAGAAGACTTTTTAAGCCTGGATGACTCTATTCATCTAGAAAGAGGAACTTGAGACTAAATGTTCATGTTTGCGTATGTAAATCACAATAGCTAGGATGGCAAATTAGTTTTTATTAAAAACTTTGTGTTTGATCAGCTTTCAGCAGACTAAACTCCTAACCCTTCCTATTCGTGTGTTTTTGTTTACTTAAGTATTAGACAATTACAGAAGAATTAACGACAGAAGAAAAATAAATTTTGGTAAAACAGCAGGTAAGCCCATCGAATAAATTATAATTTTACAAATCCAGCAAAACTCAAGTAGAATCCTATTGTTTTCCTTGCAGATTATATAAAGGTAATATTTGATCTGAGACTGATCCTTTAGTACATTAGGCGGCTTGATTAGGCCAAAGAGACATTCAAACAATAGACTGTCCAGGCTTAATTAGCTTCTTTCAAAGAGCTTGCAACATATTGCATTGTTTATAATGTTCACGAAGTCTTCAAGGGTAAACCTGAGAGCATTTCTCTCTAAAACAACTGCAAGACTCGTGAAACTTTGAAGAAAACTCAGAAGTTAATAAACATTTTTTAATGGCATTATGCAGCCGCATTGAAGACTGCGAGGTTGCTAAATAGCACATTTTTCCTTGATGTTTGTCTACTGAAAGAAATTCATTACGTTGGTTCACCTTAAAGCTATCAAGCAGTGATAGATTTCGGAAGAGTGTTTAGAACAATACCGGGTAAAGCACAGTATATCGTCGAGAGACAGGAAAAGCTCAATTTGTAGAAGGTAATGAAGGATACACTGAGCACACTACAAAAGAAAGATGACTTTTAAATAAAACATTGACTGGCAACCTATCTTCAGCATCTTTAGAAGCAAAAATTATTCTGTTTCTTTTGGAATACATTGATTTTGTTCAAAATCTAGGTTTTTGTAATTAATATATTTTGTAAATTGTAATTAGTACATTTTGTATAGTTAGCCTTAATTAGCTAAACGCTATTTTCTCCGCCAACTCTAAATAAATTGTTTATTATTAATATTATTATTATTATTATTATTATTTTTATTATTATTATATTTTTATAAATCTAGCTGATTTTTCACAGCCTGAGACACTTCATGGTGCTTTATCAGGCAATTGAATCTGAATTCATAAATTTAAAAAGCAGGTTGTCATTCATCAACAATTTATATTAAAAAATAGGTACACAATCTTTTGGATATCAGGCCCATTTGCCATTGACGATTTTTGACAATTACTAAAATAGGAAAATGTTTTGTAGCGATATCATTTGCAGAAAATTAGTTTTTTAAAATTTCTTTGCACTTCAGCTCACTTTTCAAAATATATATTTGAATTTAGAATATGTATTTGAATGTTATTCGTTGACTTTAGTAATATCCCTTGAAGCCACAAACTAAAAGTGTTTCTTGCGGACATTTTCCTTTGAAGCGTCATGCAACCATCTCAAATTTAAGATCTTTAACTTATACTTGTATGTACCAAATCATATGAATTAGTGATCAAATATATATATATATCAAACCATTTAATGAATTCAAACCACTAATTATACTAACCTTGAAAATTTCAAAAAATTATTATTAACTACTCACAATTTAGTATAAGTTTCAATAAAAACCTCATTAAATAGATAATAAAATATTAAATACTAAGTTCTAACTAAGTCCGTGTCGAAGGATCTGTTTCGCACTTCTCTTGTTATGGTTGTGTTGTTCTCTTCTTTATGTGTTGTTTGCGGTACTGCAATGTCCAATATCATTTAGTGATCCATCTTCGTTATCACTGCTGGAAGGTCTCTTTACAGATCAAACAGGCAAGCCTCTTTCTTCCTTATACTTTTCGTAGGTGGCATTCTCTACTTCTGTCAGTATTTTGTTCAACGCGTAAATCTAAAATGACAAGCAATAATACCATCCTGTAGCCGCTCTGTTTCATCTACTGTAACATTAAGTATAAAGTTACGAACTAATGTGATATTCATGAAATTTGAATGAGTTTTACACCAGTGGCGTACCCAGGGCTGCAGCAGTGGGGTTGGGAGGGGGGTCTGGGGCCCAGCTCCCAATTTTTTAGACCACGCCCTTCAAACACTCGCAAATACAGGGACACGCCCTTTTTACAAAATTTTCCCCCATTATTTGATTCATGTTAGCTGCGATAAATAGCAAAGCAATGTTATTGACACAAGCATACAGTATACTACTCCCCCCAATGAGTTTTACATCGTTTTTGAACAAATCTCGAGGACCATATTTTAGAAAAGGCCGGACCCCCCCCCCCCATTACCCCCCTTGGGTACGCCACTGCTTTACACCAAGGTTCTTTCAACTTTCTGGCTTGAGTGCTACCAGAGGCACATATCATCAGTGTCTGTGATCATACAAACTGCATATAGGCCTACTAAGGTAAAAACGTATTGCAAATGTCTGAGGTAGCAACCTTCTACAACTTAGCATCCCTTTTCAATGCTTACCTCAGCTCGCTGCCTTTGCTTGATCTTCAAAAGCATTTCCTTATTCCGTTGTTTTTCCTCCTGAAGTTGCTTCTGCTCTCTCGTTATTCTCTCCTCGTTTTCGCGTTTAGCCTGCTTTGATACTAGAAGTAAAAATGCAACAATTGATAAAAATACATCACAATACGTAACTCAGCTGCGCACTTCTCTATCTACATGCTAGTGTTAATACGATTGTTCCACCAAATTGCATGTTGTAATAGCCACTCGGGTTTATATAAATCTTAACACGCTTGTCAGAAAAGCCTCGAAATCTTCTATAAATTAAATTTATGTTGTAATAGGAAGCTAAACAAGAGGAAATGCGGCAAATAGTAATGAGCATTATCCGAGAATTAAAGTGTGAAATCAACACTACAAAACTACTTACCCAGTCCAGCTAACTTTGAAGTAACCAAACGTTTGCTCTACAATATGATATTCACATTACATCGTACATATACATAACCATAAAATTATATTTTGACACACACCAGCTAACTTAAAAAAATACTTTCACGTTATCTCTTTAGGATTAAAGATCCCTGAGGCAATGACAAATTTATTATGAAAACTTTTTCTAAGTTGAACTTTAAAAAGGGGAGAAGAGAAATAAACATTTTGCACGAATTACTTTGCAAAATAAATCCACGAGAAGATTGTATCACATTTATTTTACGTTTATTACATTTTATTGTTAAGCACTATTAAGATATTGATCCTTCAGTTTTTCAGTCTTCAGTCAATATAAATAGATATGACTTGCATAGACTTCATGGCTAAACTTTTTAAGAAAATGAAATGTTTTTACCTTCATATCTGACATTGATGGGACCCATTCAATCTCCTCATAAAAACCTGCAAAAAATATAAGCCAGTCAGGATTCGAATCATCGTTCATTTTATAGACAGACGCAATTAGGTGCTCAATATACAGGGGTCTTAATAAGCGTAATTCGTTAGGGGAAGATTTCAGTAATTAATAAGTGGGAAAGGGCGCTTATTAGGCACCTAAGAGTACATCCTTCAAAACATCATTCGAGATTTATCAGATTAACAACATAGTTCATGGGTTAATAGATTGGAGCTCCCTGATTGAATCAAACAATTGCTTCCCAGTCTCCAATATTTTCCCTTAAACATAATCGGGACCTAAGGACAGAGACTCCGTAAATAGTTTTTGTAACAATGCCCACCAACCAAAATCCTGGAAGAGATAGGCAACACCCTTTTAGATGTACTTTTTTAGATGTACTCTTTTATAGTAGTTTAGTTGGACGACTTTTCGTGCTGCTTTCAACAAGCTCCTCATAAAATACCGAATTTTAATATTGGGGTTAACCTGTTAAGAAAGTCCAATATAAGCAAACAATTGACAGAAAGGTTTGGTACCTTCTAACGCTGAGAAAATGCCAAGGAAACTTTACAAATCTTCTATCTGTCATTGTCCACACCACGAATTTGAAAGTAGGGGGCAAGGTTTACGAAAGTGGGGGGGGGGGGCAAGGCTAACGAAAGTGAGAGGGCAAGGCTTCTTTCACCTTTTCTGTAGCTTTGAAATTATTTGCTTCACAAATAGTGGGTGGTATGTGCCCTTCTTTGACGGCTTGATATTGTATCTAAGTTTAAAATTTATAATGCTAAAGGCGTTAAAGCGCCATTTAGCCAAAGTGATTGGATGGTTTTTTGTTCTGAAACTTCTTTCTGTAGACATTGTTAAAAATGCATCTGATGTGCACAGAAAACTACTTTCAATTTTGTATAGCAACTTACAAAATCCATTCCTATGAAATGATTTCAAGGCACTGGGTTGTGTGACCTCCAAGACACTATACCCATGATAAATATCATTAAGATCATTTTGTCAAAGTAAACACACTTTTGTCAAAGAAAGTGCATTTTATTCAATACAAGTTCAAAACATTTAAGAAACATAAAAAAATGATAATAGTTGTTACAATTATATTATATTTACTAATGTTAAATTTAGCAGGTGATTTTTTAAATTAGCCAAATGGAAGCCATTTTAAAGAAAGATGGCTACTGCAGGAAATTAAAATTCAATGATTAAGTCAAAGTTTAGCAATAGGTTACCTGAGCAAGGGGTGGCTGGAGGAACTGCAGGAACACCCATGAGGGTACCTGATCTCTTTTCAGATAAATAGACTTTTGTCAAACGAGTTACTGGACTTCCATCCATACTGCTTTTAATGGATCCATTTGAAGACAAAATAACATCAAAGTCTGTGAAAGATCTGGGACCTTTTATAGCCAAAGAGTTTGATCTTCTACTAATACATGGCAAAGACTTGTTTTGTATCAGTTTACTGCTTTGTAAATTTTGAAAGTTTGATTTCTGATGCAGCTTCAAACTATTAATTGTAGTTTTGTTACTTTTACAGGTGATTTCTTCAATTGCACATCCACCTTTCCTAGCTGAAACAAAGGACATTTAAATTACAAATGATTCAAAATCATATATTTGCTAGAATGTCGAAAAAGGTATTTTTAGTCTTGTATACATTAATTTTCTATTCACTGTCATTTAGTATTGGACAATCAAACAAATGTGAAGTATCTCTTGGGAGATCAAAGCAATTAGGTTTATCCTATAAAATAAAAGAACAGCTAAAAATAAAAGTTTCTGATTCATAATTGGCAGCAACAGCAGTATTTTTACATACTTCACATACTTCTTAAGTAACATTTCCTTGAATAAAATATGCTGAAGTGCTGTGTTTCTTAACTTTTCCATGCACCATAATTTTAAACTCTACTGAACGATTATTATCTATCAAGTAAACTTACATGTTTGAAGAGAGATTCTTTTGGATTTTGAATTTTTATAGACTTTACTCATCCTTTTGCTGCAAGATGATTTGCTTGATTTGTGTTTTTTCTTCTTTGAGGATTTTTGTTCTCTTTTAGAGCCATTATCATTGACCATGTTATTAGATTCTATAATGGTATTGATTTCATTTTCATGATGGTGTGACTGTCTGCATATTGATGAAGAATAACTGGCTCCTGATTTCAGGTTTTCTTTTCTTTCTCCAAGTTTCAAGCCTCTCATTGATAAACAAACATTGTCCAAATTTATTTTGAACTTTGCTGATAATGTGCCTCTGGGTTTCCTTTCCAATGGACAACTTCCAACTTTAAAAGCTGGAAGGTTTTGACAGAGATCAAGGGTAAACTTATTTTGAACCAACACATAATCATCCTTTTGAAAATATTTTGCTTGTTGAATGAAAGTATCTTGACTTGAGACTCCCAAAGGACAGGCAGATGAGATTCTCAGATATCTAAAAATGAAAATTAAACCTTTTAGATTTTTAGCTTTTTCCAAGTCATCAAGAGAAAATGATATCATAATGTGGATAAGATGTAACTTAAGCAAAAAAAGATTTGAAATGTTTTGCAAATTATATTGTCTTTCTACTGTGGTTCATTGTAGCAAAGGCTTAAACCCATTACTAATACAAAAGCTCTTTGCACGAGGATGGCTCAGTGGTTTTGGTTGCTGACTACATCCAAGGGTTCGTGGTATGAGTCTCTGGCATGACCAAACTTTCACCAAGAGTAAGGGGAGTCACCCACTTTCTGCAACTCCAGGCAAAGGAATCAGGGGGTGTGGTCTCATCAAGAGGAAGGACTAGTAAACTGCTTGATAAGCATGGACTTTCAGTGTCCAAAAAACTACCTTCAAATGCTAGGTAGCAAATAAACATAAATAGAACTTCTTACAAATAGATAAATGCATAAAAGATCGTCAAAGTCATGCTTAGTGTATCTGTAAAATTTGAACAATTTAATGAGGAGATTGAGGATTTCAAACAACTGGTCAAGTAATGTTGTAAAATGTTTGATTTTTCAAAGCTATCTTCAAATTTTATACCACCAAAAAATAGACTAAAAAATACCTTGACCCTTACCAGTCTTTTAAATCTTCTCCTCAAAGATCTAGCTGAAGGGTTAAATTGTTTTTTTCCCAAAGAACTTAGCTCTGTTTAAATGTTATCTTACTGATTTATCTACAAATACTGGGCTCAAAGAAAGTACGCCCATTGCATAAATATAGACATCGCCTACATTATTGCTATCTCCATTTCATCCCTTTAAAAAGCTCATTACTGTTCATCCAAAAACAATATCTAAGAAGATAAATCGGTATATATTTTGGTACATCTTCCTGGACATTGTTTAGAATGTCAAACGATATTCAGAAGCAAATAAGATTAAGACAACAAATGTAACATCAGCGAAAGCTAAATTAGTTTTAGAAAGAATAAAAAACTTTTAGTACCTTGTGTTCATATTTTTGACAAATTCATTTACTTGATACAAGACACTTTGTTAACGGCAATCAAATTACTTCATTTTTCTGTAATTTCTAAAGATGTTCGATAGAGCAATGAACCCAGCTGATGTTGTTTTGATTTCAAAAACAAATCTAATAGGTGAGGCTGCTGTTATGACAACGACCTAATCTCGATTTCATGTCTTTCTCACACGAGGGCAGTGCTAGGCCTTCACAGCTAACTTTACGAAGCGATTTTACGATACATATACAATATATATAACGAATTAATAAAATTTTATTGGAATTTAGTTAAAATGAGACCTCTTACAGATGAAGAAACAAAGAATGTTTTGGAGAAGTTGATAAAGTAGTAAGTTATTTGGAATCTTGAAATGTTTGGACTCAATTGAACAGAATCTCTCTCTATATATATACCATGTGTTTTTGTCGATAATTTCACTTGACGTCTTTTATGTTTGGAAATGTAGCCGAATTGATGGGACTGTGGCAATTTCCGTACTTAATTGAAAAATATTCACTCCCGCTCACCATTATGTTTTGATCGAAAATGATGGCAGTGTGCATTCCATGTACTTAGGCCCCAAGATCTTCGGTGTACTCTCAAGTTTTTTTTCGGCGTACGGCGTGCAAACCACCGGGTACCATCCAGCACCACATTCATCCCCACATTCAAAAACTTGCTTGTACTGCTCGAAAATTTGTCGATATGACAATGATTAGTACAAAAATGTGTTATTTCCGAGTTTCCTTTCAATTTCCACTCGATAAAAGCTGAGATACACCGAAATACTCATGTTCTGGTACTTCGTTGCAAAACATTTTATAAATGGAAATTTTTACTGCGTGCTAAAATTGAAATTTTGTTGTTTTTAGGTTTTGGTTGGCGCAGCGCTGGAGTAGTTCGATGGGGAGGGGGTCTTTTAGAATTATCGTATATTTAAAGATGTGGAAAAACGTACTGATTTATCGTGAATGAGTCTACTGTGAGGTTATTCTGATTGTTATTTATCCACAACTGGGTATATCTGTTTGATAGTTTAAAAGAACTATGTCCCTTTAATCACATCAGGCATGGTCCACCATAGCTGCAAGCTTATGCAAGTTTTCCACCCTGGGCATATTATTGTCTTCCCTTTATAACCAGACTGCAAAGTTTGGTCCTCGTTGGGAACCCGTTCTCCCGACAATAATTTTTATCTTTCATGCCCACACATTATTAAGAATCTGCCGTAAATTCCTAACACAATATTTGTTAATTTTATCCTGTCCCCCACAAATATTCCACCTTTTAAACTTCTGATTTCTTATAACGAGAGAAAATAAAGAATACAAGGTCTCTTTGAAAGCTTTTTGATACAAATTCTGTGCACAATTTTGCGGGAAATGTTAGTTTTCCGCAAAAATTGAAATGATTGTTCTTTTGTTCCCTGCACAGAAAGGATACTTCACAGTCTGGCCCTATAGTTGCCAAGCTGCTTGAGTAGCAACTGTCTTGGTCCCTGTAAGTTTCCTTGAATCATTTTCAAATTTTCTTGCAGTATTGGTGATAATACTCGCATGCTATTAGACAGACCAGATGGACAATATTGCTTCAGACTACACAAAGATAGGATTTATTATGTGAAGTAAGTTTCTCATGATAAATTTATGCCACCAAACATTTTGTGGATGTGAAATTATTGAATGTGTAATATTAGGACTTCCAATGGAAGGTTAACAATTGTCTTTTTTATAGTTTCTCTTATTTTTTATGCAATGATAATAGCTAAAAAAGGAAGGCAGCACAGCATGTTTCAAAAAAGTTGCAGTAAATCTGGTAGCGACTCTATATGCAATTACAATATAGAGAATTTTTTTGGCATTTTCTTTTATGAAAACAATGTCAATTGACCTACATACAAACAAAAAAACAGCCATTGTGTAAACAGAAGGAGTTCGTTTTCTCTCTTGGACTCCAGTGGTAATTGTTCTTTAGGCACGTGGCACTGATTGGTCAACTATACCGGTCTTGTGCTTGCGTTTTTCTGATTGGCCTATTTCAATCCACAACTGGGTATATATTTTTCATTGTGTTCTTTCCGACCCTATCCTGACGTTTTATGCTCTGAGGAGTGTCAGACGAAAAAACTTTTAGTTAATATGTTGTGAAATGTTTGGTTTTTTTCTAGCCATTTTCAATGTCAATTGAATACACTATGAATACAGAAAATGTTCATAGTGCTTCAACATTAATCTTTTAGTAGTCCGTTGTTAGTATGCCTCAGTTTAAAGCTGCAAAAATTTCAATAAAACTCCACAAAACTGTAATGTGACTATATTTTCCGTAATAGTGACCATCCATTGTGAATTTCAGATTTTCAGTGTTTGGATATTGCCTGGCTAGGAATCATACAAGTTTTTTTCTGTTGTGATTGAATTCAAATGTCTCCATCTCAGATTACTTTGTTTTCACACGAAAATAGAGCTGTGTGAAAGGGGCCTTACTAAGAATAAAAGAATGATAAAAAATTCAACCTGAGCTGTAGGCAGGGTCTGAAAACTAATTGCTTAAATAATAAAGCTTGATTCATGTTCTTTTAATTAATTTACTTCTGCTTTCCTCTACTATAGAGAGGAAATAATGAAAAAAGCTACAAACATTGGTAGAGATAATTTAATCAGCCTTGGCACATGTTTTGGAAAGTTTACAAAGTCTGGAAAATTCAGGCTACAGATTACTGCCTTGGATTTCTTAGCGCCTTATGCAAAGGTAAGTCTTTAGCAAAATGTTATAAAATATAAACATCAAATTTGACGCGCTTGCAGATTTTTCTCATCCAAAATTTCTTAGGTTAGAAGATATTGTGGATGATCAAAATGTAAACAACTTTCTACTGAAGTTCAACAGCACACAAGAAGGCAGTACCTTGTTTAGGTTTTACAAAGTCAATTCACTCAAAAGTATGAGAAAGACTCTTGATGAAAAAGCAGATAATGTCTTTGTTATGTATATTAAGGTTTGCCTTCTCTCGGTAATGAATTTTCTGATACTCTAAAATACCAAAATGACAATGAAAATTATCTAGAGAAAAGACTATGTTTCCTCTTCAATTTTCTGCTTTAAAATGATTTTCCTTATGTGCATATATAAAGAAATAGATTAAAAAAGAGCACTTGCAAGAACTTGTTTTGTGTGGATAAGTATGGATGAGTTTCTTTGCAAAGCTTTTATTATATTGTTATTTAAATGTAAATATGAGAGGATAATTGAATTGTTTTAAACATATTTCTAAGTTGTTTTTTATTGGTCCTTCTAATGGCGAATTGATAGTAGTAATCCTCTTGGAACATACTGATTAACTACTTTTTCACTTCTCCATCAAATTTGTATGTAATTACTATATGGTTTTGTCCTTTATCCTGGCACTGGTTGATGTGGAAGATGGTTTATTAGTTGCATTATGTAATTTATTATTTGTTTATATCAGTTCAAGGTATGGGTGAAACCAAGTGCAGATCAATCCTTTCTTTATGGCAACCATGTCTTGAAGTCTGGCCTAGGAAGAATAACTGAAAACACAGGTCAATATCAAGGTGTAATAGTCTACTCGATGGGAGATATTCCTTTGGTAAGTAGATATTTCTCAATTTTTTTATATTTGGTTATCTGCAAATCTCTAGAATTTAGTATTTCTACTTAAAAATACATGTTAAAGCCACCCAGGAAAACTCTGTTACTAATTGAGTAATCTTAGAAAAGGAAATTTTGCAGGGACACTGACAAACATGGCACACAAACATTGCAATTATTGACCCCCATTTTACTTTTCTCTCGCTCTTTCAAGACCCTTTTTAAACCCTTGTTTCATCCACAAAAACATTTATCTAAAAATTTGAAATAAAAATTTTTTAATTTTGCTTTAACTTCATTAATAACTTTTAATAACAACCATCAACGATTTGTTTAAATTCTTCTTTGTGTTTAATTTACTACTTAGCCGTTACATTCTCACCCAGTCTATTAGCACCCCATTCGTTTGTGTCCTCTGAATAGTTATTTGTGATTTATAGGCATGACTCATAGGTGAGAATTTGTGCAGTTGGAAGAGATAATAAATATCCTGAAGTAACGATAATATACTTATGGTTGAAACAGTTTTCTTTATTTTGGTAATTGTCCGATGGAGTTCTCGTCATTTTCTGTCCCATCGAGTTCTTGTCATTTTCCTCAAAAAACCGTATTGCACTTCTTTTGCCCTCCAACCCTATAATCCAAATGGAAAAATATTATTTTTTCATATTTTGGTAGCATCGAATTACGCTGAAGTTAAAAAAGCGGACCCTAATGATAACATGGACTGATAGGATCTCCTTGTAGAATATTCGATAAAGTAAAAAACTACGTTGTTGCTACGTATTGCATTTTTCAAAAAGAGGGTCAGCTTCTAGAAGGTCGCTGAAAGAGAAATGAGTTGAAAGGAATAGTTACACCTAGTCTTTTGCCGCTGTTTTGTGCCACTTTGAAACAAATTGAACAGTATGAACAGAAAACGGAAGATCAATAATAACTGTAAACTTTTTAATGGAATACATTAAAAATGTTAAGTTTTGTCCTTGAATCTGAAAATTATACTTGACTAGGGCCGCCGAGAGTTTTCGGAGGCAAAACCGAAAGACGAGGCGAGCGGAATGAGCAGAAAATTTTCAGATTCTGTGAAATCACGCCCTTCAGATTAGCTTAAAATGCTTCTCAGAAAATTGTTTGTGTCATTTTCTTGCAATCATTTAGAACGTTTGATTATTTTTTGGCAAATTTTTCCTCTGTTTAATTAATTCCTTTTTTCAAATGGAATTCATTTACTTATGAGGCCCCTTAGACCTCGAGGCCCTGGGACAATTTGCCCCCTTGCCTCCCCCTCTTGGCAGCCCTGTACATGACTAAACCTATTCTCAAAGGGAACTGTAAAACTCCTGTCTCCTTCCACTCCACCTGCGTACTTAACAACATTGACGGATATTAAGGTACAGTTACTTAAAGTCCTTTTTCTTTCTCATGCTCTTTATTTTGTACCCACAATTATTCTGTCAAAATGACTTTACAGCACAAGCATTCATTTGATAAATTCTTATCTTTGCCAGGGCTTTGGTGCAACTGCTAGATCGACAGAACAATGTCGTCATGCTGATCCAACTGATATTGTTTGTTTCCATCAGGCAGATGTTGGCGAATACTTGAGAAACGAAGACACCTTGACGTAAACCGTCTTGTATAAAAAAGTATTGTATTTATTTCTGAGTTACTTAATACTTTTATATCATTATATCTTTATCAAATTGTTTTCAATATAAAACAAAACATATCACAGTCTTGTGTTGACGTCATTACCAGAGTTTTATTGTCATGTCCATTTTGGCTTTGAACTTTCTTTCTCTAGACAGCTGTCGCCTTTGCACGGATCCTTCTTTCTTGCAATATTCTAGAGCATATAACGTTTCAGCTTTCATTAGAATTAGAACAAAGATTTTGAAGTAAACCTTTGTCATTTGCAACAGGAATCAATTACCAACGTCTGTAAGCAACAGGAAGATTTTTCTTGTACGAATTTACTTCGGAAAATCTATCTAAGAACTGACCTTGCCATGTCTTTGAGAATTTTTCTTCATGCCTGGAGGATGCATCTCCATTTGAATGTCTTGCTTTCTAAAGATTTACTAAGTCTTGCTTTTGGTCTTCTGGTCTAACTTCTTTGTTTGGTTCTTGACGCGAACACAACGTTAGTCTTAGACATATCTCTATGGTTTTCAATGACGAATTCAGCGACCCCAACCCTTTCCTCACCCTCTTTGGAACAATGCTCGTTTTTTTCAAAGCAGAGAAAAAGATTGGTGTCAGCAACGTTGAGCGACGATACTTTTCGGGACGATCGGCATTGTTTGGGGGGGGGGGCGGAAGAAGAAGTATTTGTGAAAAAATGGTAAATAGAGGAGCAAAAATAGAGGAGCAAAGATGTAAAGTTTTGGTAGGCATTGTGCACTCTCGACAGCCTTATGTTATTTGTTTTCATAAACCTTCCATTTGGTCTTTTTCTTGATGAATAAACAGGACCATATGGTAGCATTATTTGATTGTTTGTTTGTGTTGATTGAAATTGTCTGTCAATACAAATAAAGATTTTGCAGATAGGCTTCAGAAGTTTTTGTTTAGCTAGACCTATCAAACGATGTTTATTTGCGACAGGAACTATAAAAGGTGAGAAGATAAATCTAATGCTGCCCGTATATTTGCACTGTTCTTAAACTTGGGCTTGTTAATAATATTAACGTGCTTTTTAATGCAGATTTGGTCAACGGATTATAACACAGATATGCAAGAACCTGCGGGGTCAGTTTTAATGTTAAGGACAACCTCTTTGGAACGATGTCGGCAGCAGTAGTTAGCCCAAACAATTTTCCTTGACTTTATTTTGCCATGGACTTGCCATATTCTAAGATTTTTTATTTCAAAGAGTATTTGACTGACAAAGAACTCTAGAAAGCTGAAAAATGCCCGTTTTTATCAAACAATTGGATTGTTCGCAAATCTTGCCGTAGCCTTGCCAGAAAATCGATGTGTCTGCCCGATCATGGGGTAATTTACTCTTGCAAATAGCTGACGAGATTTGCACGAAAACAGAACGATTTCCAAGTATTTTAAGATAAAACAATAGGATTTCCACCAAAGTGTATGAGATTTTCATAAAGTGATTTGCCCCTGGTGCTCAATCACAAAATCACACGAATGTTCCACGGGTTCATTACAATTTGGTCACGTTTTCCCACTTCCCAGATCATTTCAAAGCTTTTAAAAGCATTTTTTGTTGAACAACCAGACAACAGGATGTTTAATAAATTAAGTAACACTATAAAGTAACACTAACATTAACACTTTTGTAGCCAGAACCAGCGCACAAGAGGCAAATCTCCCTAATTTTTTTTCTTCTAGTAGATTTCTTCTAGATGGTATTATATCCATGTGGATGTTGGGCGGGGTGATTTGAAGACTTTTAGCGAACAGTTTAAAAATATGCTAAAAATCTAGCAAAATCTACAGTTTAAGTTAGAGTCACCGAGTAGCAAAACTATACTCTCGGTCGTTTTTTTGACAAACCATTGGCACTCGTCGTTATATTTTGGTCAGTTATAAAAACAGTGTCAAGCAATTGATCAGCCCCGTTTCTCTCTGTTTCTCTATTACGCATACTGGCGTATTAGGGCTTGCACTGTCCTTTTTCCATGTATTTGAATAATTTGTAATATCATACGTATGGAAAAACCTACAGAAAAAGGACCATAACCATACCCCCTGAATTTAGATACTGAAAAGTGTCCTCTAATTGCGTAATGTCGTTTCTTGTGACCCACAAGACTCCATCCTAAACAACATAGGGTCCTTTGTTTGCAGTTCAACTACCTATCGCGATCCGTTGATCGTACGCTGATCTTTATTAAAAAGTGAATAGAAATAGCAGTAATCCTTTATTGCAATCAGCAGTTCTTTCGTATAGCCTTAACATAATAGATTGCTTAAATTCGAATAGAGCCCGGAGATTACCTTAGGTTGGAATATGATATTGTATTTACCACAGAAAAGAATGACCTTTGATTTCCAAGAGCTGTCATTTTTAGTTCTTTACGATTATTCAGAAAACTCTCCTTCCCCTCCAATAAGATGCATTTTCTTGATGAACATGGATAATCTTAGATTTAAACTCTGGAGATTATTTTCAATTGAATATCGTTCTTTTTAATCTGAAAGAAGATCCTTGTAAGCAAGCAATGAGACCTTGGTAGCTTTGAGTTTATTGAAGGCTATCATGTACGTTATGTTCTATGAATAAGAAGAATTATCTCTAAATGGAAGAAGTTCCTAAAAGTTTATAATAGCAAGTAACAAGCGTGATTTGAAGATTACATGCATCATTAGAAAGTAATGGGCTTGTACCTACAAGAAAGGAAAAATGCATATTCGCATTTGGGGAAAAAGGTCGTTAGTCAGCTGGAAGAAATACGTTTACTTAGAAGTGAGCTGTTTAACCGAATAAATGCTTTGGCAAATAGAAAAAAACATCTTTGGAAAAGATTGTTTTTCTTGCAAATCGATTGACTTACCCCCGGCTTACCCCTAGGAAAAACTAACGAACAATTGGAAGCATACTGGTGATCCCAGAAGATGACAGATATTGTGAATTATCCAAAGAGGAATTGATGTTTTTCGGAAAGGAAATCTATCCGTTAGGAAGAAGATCAAAATTGTAATCTTTATCTCATAGCAGTGATCTTTTCTAAGCAGAAAGGGTTTACAAAGAGGAAGCCAATTACGAACTTTTTAGAGGAGTGAATGCCCCTGTGAAGGTTTACCGAGAGATCGAAAGATTTTCATCGTAATTTATCGGATTTCAGTGTCTACAGTCGGTTGGAATCATTTCCGACATATTAACCGTAAAAACCTATAAAGTATTTTATTCTCAGCCATTTAATGATTGCCTATATTAAGGAAATCGCTTAAATCCGTACCCGTCTGTATTGTCTCTATTATTCACGATATTCGTTTCTCGAATTTCCTCTGCTACTAGACTTTTCTATAATCAGCAAATTTTTGTTGCAATACCAACCTTCTTATTCTCAAAGATAGATATTTTGTTTTAGTCTTTGCGTTTGATTTTGGTGACAGAAAAGTTATGCGACAGTTTTCAGCGTTTTAGAAAAATGAAGTTTAGAAGATTCACACTGATGCCTTTAAGGAAGAAGAAAGACTGGCGGAAAGGTGTTGTCTGCACTTTTATACGTACAACGATCGATTCAAAGAATATTTTAATCAGAATATAAAATGCGACTTGTAAAGTGCATTCAAAATTTAAATTGTTACATCCCTTTTTTACTTCATATTCCCATACAGCACCAGAATTTCTATGCCCGCAGGGCAGATCACTCCATGGAAATCTTGTACTCCTTTGGTACGTACCCAGTTCTTTTATCTATTTGGCTTCCTTTTAAACTAGAGGAGTAAGCAATGTAAAGAAAGTTTCCTCTAGGCCCATCTAGCCCAAATTTATGATAATAAGAATAATAATTCATTTATTTACAGTAGGCGTTCTTTACAGTAGTAGCTAAAAGATAAGCTAATTAATGCCTACTATTTTTAGGATTTAATTAGATTAATAGTTGAAAATAATCATGTTAGATAATTCATGCCAAGAACCCGACCTGTGCTGCAAAGGTTCTACATAGCCTGCAGTTGCAATTATCCTTCCATTGTTTATGATCTTTACTTTAAAGGTATTAAGAGTATTTAGATCTTACAAGTTTTCTGGTAGATTGTTCCAAAGCTTACATCGTAAATAGGACAAGCTTTCGATTCCATGAGTGATGGTTCGAGTTTTTGGGATTTTCATTAATCTACTGTTTCTAAGGTGTTGTGGCTACTCTTTTGTATCAATATAAAAAAATTTTCCTGATGTAATGTGTTGGGTTCTTCTATTGATTAACTTTATGTTATTTGATCACATTCCGCGTCATATACTTGTTATCTTTGGTTCAATGTTTTCGTTGGAAACTAAAGGTTTATCTATATAAACAATTTAAGATGGTTCATCCTTTTATTTAGCATGGGGGGAGGGGGAGGAGACTTTCTTGAAATCGCTGGCCCCTCCAGTCTAGGATCTTGTGGCGCGGATCCTGCACAGGGAAACGTTTTGGTCGATTAGAAAGGAGGAAGTTCATCATTTTGACTGTAAATTATTATTATTCGATACCTGAACGTTTTGTTGTTGGGACGTTTTTGTAGGGGTTGATCAACAGAAGCCGTGCTCTTTAGAATGTGTTCCAATCCAATAGCCATCTCTGGTACTGGTGAATAAATGTTTGCCAACGGTTTTCTATTTGATCTGCAAAGGAAGTATCGGACAGACTTGCCAGTCGGGTACCATTATCGCGATTGAAATACGAAACCGCAAATCTTCGTTAACTGGCTCTTCAATTAATGACACCATAAAAGCAACTGCGAAAGCAACTTCATTCAGAGTCGGGTAGCGAGAGAAATAAATTTCAAGCAAAAAGCGACAGGCGGAGAGTTTTGAAAAATAGTTTTTGCCGTCAATTGATGACATGCCACCGTGAGAGCAAAGTGTTGGAGACGGGGGCTGCATCTGTGTGACGGTTGAGACAATAACTACAGAATTGGCTGGGACAAGACGCAGACGAGAGCGAATTTGTAATTGATCGGGAATTGATCACTGAAATTGGGACGATGTTATGGAGACATTTGGCTTGTGCAATTAAAGGTTAGTTCCAAGAGTTTCGCAGTTTTTTGCCTATTCAGCCATATGAAAACTTTGATTGCGCAACTTGAAAATAATAGTTTGGTTCGCTTCGCTGGGCAAAATTTTTTGTTTACTCGCACTGCTTCGGGTTTTCAATCAGACAAGTCAAATCAAAATAGATCCAGATCAAAGTAATTGCAGACTTTTCTACTTGAATTGCTTTTTGCGTTGTCGCACTTTTATTAAGTGCTGCAAATGCCAATAAATTGTACTACGCTCTGATATAAGTTAATTTACTCCGACTTTTGCAACAAAGTTTTAAGAACATAGTTTCCCTTTATGTCTACTGGGGAGAAGGGATAAACCCTAGGAACCCAGGGAAAGTGCTTAATTTTTAAGGTGGCCTTCCCTTCTTAAGTTTTGCTCAACCTTTGATACTTTCTGAATTAACTGTCTAATTAAAATATTTTTAGAGTAAGCTATAAGACTGCTTGGTTTCATTTTCAACTGTCATGCAAATTGATTTTGCAAATACAGGCATAGGCCCCTTCCAGGCTTTACAAATGCGGGGCCCAGTGTGGGCGTGTACAATTTTTTAAGCATAAATTGTCTGAACACTGGTCCTTCTACGACCCTGAAAGATTCAGCAAAGTGAAAGTAAATCCGAGTAAAAAATTTCAAACTATTTCGGCTAATGCTAACTCAAATAATTAATTTGATGAAAAAACCCGATTGCACACAGGAACATATATTGAACGGATATTTCTGCAATTAACTTGTGCATAAATAATTTATAAATGCTAATTAATGTGAAATTGTAATTCTATATTTCCTTTACAAAATGCACATTTTGTTGTTAACATACTATTAATCTGAGGAGTGTTATCGAATAAACAGGTTTCCTGTGAAGCAATGCGCCTATTTGCAAACGTTTCATTGGGATTATTTAGCCAATGGGAAACAGAAACACTGCCTGCCAATCAAGTGCATAACAAATTGCAATGCACAAACCTTTCGTAAACAAGCAAAAAGATCCGTCGATATATCGTTGTCAGGCCAAGCAAAGACAGGGGCGTCGTGGCGAGTGGATTCTAGAGGGGGCCAGAAAGAAAAATTTTCCGTCAAAATTTCTTTGATTTATTTGAAATAGAAGCATTTCATGTAAGTGTAAAGGTGGCGAGGCAGAAAAACTCTACCTTTTGCCTTAGCTGGAAAGAAATTTAAAAGACACTTTTATCTTTGTCTCTGTTTCTTCATACTTACAGTGAACGCCCCTGACATCTGTAGATTAGGATAAAGGTAGAATGAGGTTAGTACCTGAGGCAGCACCTTGGGTGCCGCCGAAGGGAAAAATTTGTATGATCTAATGCTTCAAATTTGTCGCAAATCGCATCATTTGAAGCAGATTTTAATGATAAAATCTTATTTTTAAATTGAATATCCACTGGGGGAAATCGATAGTTTCGATCGACTTCTACCTTTTTTTACCTTACGCAACATAATTGCATAAAGTTTCAAATCTGGGACACAATTTTCAAAAATCTGGTGACAGGCACAAAGTTGGTACTGTCCCGGTCTTCAATAAAGATATAATTTATACAAATTTTGACCTATTTCCATAACCAAATTTGGCCCTTGAAGTTTCGGATTTTAACTGACAAAATCCGAACAGCAAATCACTCTATGGTGGGAATCGGTAAATCCTGAAAAATCGTTTTGTTTTGTGGTAATCTAGTATTTTCTTTACAAAAGTGAATTGCCTCTCGAATTACGGTAAGTACTTTAGTCCAAGTAATTTATGTTGCTAAGAATTTGAGAATTTACCCACAGCTCAAGTTTGAGAATTTTCCAACAAAACAATGATTTTTCCGAAAATCAATCAAATTTTGAGAGCAGAGGCCTGCCCCCGGCTACGACGCCCCTGAGCAAAGAGTTGAAATGGTCTTGATGTATTGAGCTCGAAAGTCATTGCTTGGTAGAAATTGAAAGGGGGTTGAATGTTACAATGGCGGAAATTCAGACTTTCATTTGAAGGGGGGGAGGGCAGGCCTACGATTTTCCGACAAGATAACATCTTGGATCATGTCTAATTTTAAGGAAACTGCATATTTTGATGAAAATAGGTGATTTTTTGGCGAGGCCCTTAAGAAGTCTTTGCTGAACACGCTATAATCAAGTAGCAAGAAGAACAATCCATTTATTATTTTTGATATCAAGATCGATATCTCATTTAATACAATTGATGATACATAAGGTCGAACGATTGCACTTTTGACAAGTCGTTCGTGATAACAACATGGTTGTAATTGTAATGTTCATTTTCTGCATTTTATCTTGCCTTATACAGTGGGAAATACGTCTGAAAATAACTTTTATTCGGAAGAATCCGATGAATATTTCGGCTAATTTTTACAGAATTGAAATTAAATATACAATTCAGAAAGCTTTTTTTATTTTGGTCACATATTATTTGATTGATTATTTAGTACTGGCTAATATTTTATCAGCTATGCCATGTTCAAATTTGGGAAAAAGGACACCGAGAGGTAATAGAGGTCCCTGGGGTACAAAGGGAAAATGCAGGTAACCTGCGAGCGAATCGAGCAGAAAAATTGGCAATTACGCAGAAGAATTAGCTTAAAATTCCTTTTCAGAACGACTTCTTGGAGTAATTTCGACATGTTAAACGGCTGTCAATTATCCGACGAAAGCTTGAATTTTCTGACAAGATCGCTGATTGGGGAGGGAGGGAGGGGCCGAGCCTTCCCCAAACCCTGATAATTTCCGCCACTGTGAGGGTATTTGCACAAGATCATATGCTTGTCTCGAAATCTCGCGATATCTAGCTACCCCTCTCTGTGTCTCTGCGACATTTCAATTTAAGCCAATGTCATGGAATTGAAGCTTCAAGTTTGCCACCCACTGTAGTTGAATTTAACAAACCGGAAAAATGCTCTACTCTACCCCTGTACGTCATCACTTTTTACAATTGCCTTATACAACAAATCAAGCATATTCATATCAGATTTCCATGCAGGCTTTTCTTGCAAAATGTGTCAATGAAATAATTATTAAATTTTAGGCCAAATTTTACAGCTACTTTGAATTTTTGCTTTTGTGCCTTGTCTAGCAATTTACATGTCAAGAAAATGAAATCACTGACAAACTCTACCCAATTTTATGTTACCTATCAGCGAAGGGTGAAGCATTTTATGAAAATCTTGTACACCTTTGGTGGAATTCTTATGGTTTTATAAGAAAATCCCTGGAAATTCTTTTGGTTTCGTTTAAACCTTGTACGTTTGTTGCAAGAGTGAATTGCAAGAGTGTATATGGCAATTCAGTAGCAAAATTCCGTATAAATGTTCTACATGATGGGCTCTTGGATCTACAGACGCAGCAACCCCGATGCAATTTTGCTACAAGTTGCTTGCTGTTTGCTATAATCATTGCGTCTGCGTAACTCATTGTACCATAGCATTGTTGTTGCTGTAGGAAAAACCTTCATTTTTACCAGAAGAAGCCGAGCAACTACATTAAAAGGAAATGTTATTAAGGAGCTACCGTCAACAAAAAATTTCAGCTTATAAGCTTAAGGAGCTTTTAACTTATTTTAGAAAACTAACGCTATAAAAAATGAACGTCAATAGGTGTTGATTTCCTATTCGAAAATATATGAGAACAAGAACGCATAATTAGTTTCTAGAATAAACGAACAAGAATGACTCAGTTTGCTCCTTGCTGTTCCGTAAGGGTAGATGCCTGTTACTGTTATTTTGAATAGCGAAACATTGTTCTGAAGTTTGTCTTGCTCTATGTTATTTTCTTATCAGACACTGAACCGATATTTGGCAATCACCCAAGCTTGCATTTCTAAAAACTCCTCTCAACTTCATTTATTTTCAAGAAAGATTTATGATATTTCCTAACACACAATCAACAATGTTTTTTGTTTGAAATTGTTACGTTTTCTCGATAGTGTCTTTCCACCTGTTTTGGGAAATTGCCAATGCCCTTGGCAACTCGCCCAGATGTGTTTGATCTTGTACAGGTGGATGACAAGTTTTTAACATACCCTGACAGTACATCTATGAAAATAAAAGGACATAAAGTGAGACCTTCTGTCTAGTATCGCGGATTGTCTAAATCCATTTGTTTCGCGTTCTGTAAACAGAATGAGTTGTTGTGGAAAGTTGGGAAACTGGAAAAACGCATTTAAGGACTTGCTCGAATTTTTATTTATAAATAGCGGAAAATGAAGACCTTTTATGAACAGATAAAGGTAAATAAATATTTTGCCATAATAACAGGCTCTGAAAAAGATATAATGTACAACAATTATAAGATATAATAGTTCAATAACTACCAAGAAGTTTGTTTTTCTTAAACAATTTCTTATTCGTGTAATGTTTGATGGTTCACTTTTTAAAGATAATTTATTTTACAACAGTTTTGAATATTTTCTGTTGATCGCAATAGACATAAAACGCAGATTTGCAACTTAGAACCGCTCTGTTATACACTCTTTTTTATAAGAACCAGTAAATTTAAGTTCAGGCTGACTGTTCTTTATTTTTTCGAAAATCTGAGGCTGGATTGTTCTTAATTTGTTCTTAAATTAAGAGGGTGTAAGCAATGCTATTGCTAGCTTTTTCGCTCTAAGGAGGTATTCAAGCCTCATTTGCCAACAAAGTGAGTGAAACAGCCTTAATTTGCTGACAAATTTTAGTGTTTACCGAAAAAGCACCCACACATCGCTAAAAATCCTCGATTTTGAGAAAAAACGTTTTTTAAAATTGCATTTTGCAGAAGCTCAGCCTCAGCTTGTTCTTAATTTGTTCTAAACGTTTGACCAGTTTTGAGGCTCGTGTTCTTATAAATATTGTTCTTATAAAAAAAAGAGTATACAGACAAAAGCATGCACAGCTCTGTCTATACGGCGACAAACACAAAACAAGAGATAGGTAAACAGTAATCTTAATAACCTCGTCTTTCTAAACAAAACTCTTGCCTTTTTGAAACTGTCAGAATATCGAGGTAATCTTGATAGACAAAGCAACATGTAAGTAAGTTTACTAATGGATATATTTAGTGCTGTTCCATCTTCAAAGAAGTTTGCATTTTACAAAAGATTGGATCCTTTGTTAGCTTAAAAGTTGTCTGGAGAATTATCTGATAGCTTGCCGCATGTTTTGAGAATGAATTTGAGGAATTCTGAGAATGACTTGCTCTTACGATATTTAAGAAATTTATTTTTGGACTGTTAGGTCTTCACGCAAAAATTGCCTTTAAGTGCATTTTGTGTAGAATCACGTATGTATGGGTTCTACAATTGTGTTAACCAAATGACCACAAAACATTTGTTTTTTTGAGCTTACGACTTTTTATGACTTACAGACATAAACTGTGATTTCGTAGTGACTTTACTTATGTGACACAGTTTATACCAAAATACACCTTAGTTAACGTGAAATGTTTGTTCATAGATTGCATTCACTCTCAATGCAGCCGGAAGATTGGTCCAGAAAATCTATTGCAATATAAATATATCACATTGTATGCTAATAAATCTCATAATTTCTGCATCTTTTCTCTGGCCATTTAGACATAACTGTAAAAGCTTTATTAAGCCCCCTCTCTATCAAGCCCCCTCTCTATTCAGTCCCCCCTTATCAAGCAAAAACTTTAAATAAACACCCCTCTCTATCAAGTCCCCCCTCCAAGTAGCCTTTGATGTCAAACATAGAAGTCATGCGCATTTAGTGGGTCTCTTTACGGGTGTGATGATGATAAGGTTGTGTGCATTAAATACGGCCTATGTAAAGACCAACTTGTGTGACTTGGTAGTCAGTCAAAATTTGTTTTGAAGATGTCCAAGACCAACTTGTGTGACTTTGTAGTCAGTCAAAATTTGTTTTGAAGATGTCCAAGGGTTATCCTGATGAAGTTGATGAAGACGAGGACCTCATAATTGATTGATTAAACTTTGATATGATTTGTATGACATTTTCATAAAAAAATGGTTAAGGGTATTTTTATAACTTTTTTTTGCTTCAAATTTTTGATAAGCCTCCTCTCTCTAATAAGCCCCCTCTAGGACTGAAAAAATAAATAAGCCCCCGGGGGGCTTAATGGAGCTTTTACGGTATCTATGAGTTTCTAATTCAGTTACATGCAGTAAAATACATACTACACTGTCAGTATTTCCAATATTAAAATATCCAAGAATATAGTATTCCAGAAACCCTATCATTTCCTACCTAAAAATATCAATTTCTTTCTGGAAGGGCTGACCCTTGCATTGCCGTATCCACAAACCCACAGTGTTTTGCCACTGTGTAACGTTTCCAAACAAAACTCAATGCATTCTTTGAAATCAGATATTCCTTTACTGCCGCTATTTTCCTGAATTGTCACATATGACAAGAAGTTAAAATCATTGTAAATTGAAGAGGATCGGCTTGGCTTAATCTAGGAAATCCATCACAAATCCATTGGTCTAAGTTGGCTCCTATTATGGTCTCTGCCCTTAAGCATTTGTCATATGTCTGCCAATCGAGCATTTATGAGAACGTTAACCAGTTTAGCTCCAAGCATTGCCTGACAAAAGTTACCATCGTCGCTTGTGCCCACTGAGTCTGACATGCAAGGTAAGAGAAACAACTGGCACTTTCCGTGGTAGTTGTGGGTGACTACATTTACTGATTAGGAGAATGTCTCTCTACAATGGCCCCGAACTCTAAAACAGTAAAAAGTTGTACCGCAAATCGATTGATTGATACCTTGATATTCCTAGAGGGTACTCGATTTGACGTGGCTTAATGTTTTTGCCCACTGCACCCTGAATTGCACCCCAGAAAATTTTATCCCCTGCCTACATGCAAGGTAGTTTGATTAGGCTAACTCGCCCCAAGGGGTTCTGTTCGTTCCTTTTTTAAAAGTAAGGAGTTAGCAGAACGGATCCAGATAAAGTAATTTTTACAGATAGAAGGGTTGATCTTGCGTTAACATTCTTGAGATTTGCGGTCCCAACCAGAATTCACATAACAGATGTTTTAATTGAAGCGTTTTACAGGTGTTTCATTTCTATAAATTTAATTTGCTCAACTTTTTACAAATTTTTAATTGTCGCCAGTCAGTGAAACTTTTTTTAATAAAAAATTTATATTTGATAGTTTTGTGTATTGATAGTTTTTATACCAATCGGAACACCTTCATTTTCTGCTGTGTAAATTACATTTTTAAGTCACTTAGACAAGTAAAACCTTTTATGATCCCGGCATGTTGATAGTCACGATCCTAAATCTGAAATGTCAACTTCCTGATCCTTAGCTTTGGCCGTAGTTCTGATTGGAAGAAGGAATAATGACTGGGTTTTTACGTTAAAACGGTCACTCCATTGCAAATTAAAGTTGCGGTTTGTTTAACCATTATAGGCTTACCCATTCCAACCTATCCCTGTCATAGATCAATGCTAGAGAATTGATTTGCTAAAATATAGCGTTTTCTTTGTAACACCTTGCCCCCAGGCTAGAAGGAAGTCTTAAACGATCCTTGGGACAGTGATGCTTTCCATCCTCTTCGCTTTTCTCTCTCCTCCTGTTTTGGAAGTTTCGTATTTTGGTCATTTTTATGGACATCCCATAAGATATTTTACCTGTTTGCTCTGATTTAGTCAGGAGCTTGTTTTGCAAATACTAGCATTTCAATTAACCAAAGCGTAGGAGGAGATAATGAAATAAGAGATTTAAAAATACCAAGAAATCCAAAGAAACAGAGGAAAGCCAAACATTATTCGATGTAATAAAGATGCTGCTCAAATAGTATAATATCATGGTCAGCTATGGTGTATTAACTGTTTGTTTAAGCCCAGCCTTAAGAGTTCTTGCAACTTGCAGTTGAGTCAAGAAATGCCAAACAAGTGATCCTATTATAGAGAATTGCATTTATCAAGTTTGACTTTTCTGATAAATTGAAAATATTTCTTTGAATAAAAGCTCTAAATAATTGCCATTGATCCTGCTCAAAGCTAAGAATAGATATTTTAATCAAGGGGGCAAGAAACAAAGTCCACTTTATTATTAGAAAACAAACAGAAAGCGTTTATTAAACTGCATGATCTCCCTTTTTCTAACAGAATGTAAAAGTGAAGTAGGTCTTTACCTGAGAATAATTGCTGACATTGTTGCAAGACTCGCACAATTGTTTATTCACTTCAATTGAATTTCGCCACCTTTCCTGTTTTGCAAAGTTCATCTCGTACGCTTAGCGTTTATTCTCATTGTGACAACGCTAGTGCAGAAGGGTTGAATCCCGGATTTCAGGACTGGAGGTGGGCGTATTCCCACTGTTGGAGGCAGAGCCCTAAGGTCTGGAGACCCAAACATACATTGCTCTACAAAATTTAAGGGGGGGGGGCAGGCTTCAACACCTATTTGTAGTTTCAGCTATATAATAATCTTGCTTGATTGTTACAATGTTATCAAGAAAATAAGCACTTGCACCGTAGATTTTACAGTTCTGCTAGGTTTTGTCCACCTTCCCCTTATAAAGTTTGCTAAATATTTGTTAAGTATTTGACAATTGATTGTTTGAGACCATTCAGTAAATTTTTATGAATTCAACAACATTGATTGTTTGAGACCATTCAGTAAGTTTTGATGAATTCAACAACATTGATTGTTTGAGACCATTCAGTAAGTTTTGATGAATTCAACAACTATGTGCGAGATATGTATCAGGATATCTATAACTTCAAAGGTCTTCCTTGATGCTTGTACATTTTTAACACGTAATGTTTTAAGGAAGTGCGAACCTTCTTGGAACCTTCTTTGTAAACCGAAGTGTTATCTTTTTCTTTTTCACAGATCCGTTTTGGAATAAATCAACGTTTTGAACCATTTGACTATTGACAAATGACACGTGGCGGATAGCTGTTTTTAATAGGGTTTGCAAATCTCCACTAGATCTCAATTCTCAGAGGAAATATTCTGTTTCGGAAAACTCGGGATAACTCGGGATAACTCGGGATAAATAAGCAGAAACAGACTGCCTTCTAGATGGCACTTTTTGCCACTGAAATATATAACAACCCAATCAATATGTCTCAAGTAAATGGAACCAATGAAACAGTGACCAATGCTGGTAATGGGAATTTGGCATTTGGGATTTTTGTTGAATTCATATTCCTGTGGACGTTAATTGGAAATATCATTATCATATCTGTTCTAAAACTGTACAAGCCGCTGACAATCCCAGACATCTTGGTATTTTCTTTGGCATTATCAGATCTTCTAAACGTGTTGCTGCCTGCACAGATGTTAAACCTGATACAGTCAAGACTGATCCAAGCGACGTGGAATGAATCGATCTGTATTGCTTTCACATGGTCTGTTCACTGCCTACGTCTATCGTCCGTTTTAACTGTTTCAGTTATAGCAGTCGACCGTCTGCTCGCTATACGAAAGCCTCTGGTTTATCGTTCAAGAGTTATGCATGAAATAAATCGTGTTAAAGTACTCATTCTGCTTCTCTGGTTATTCAGCTGCTTTACAGCATCACTACCGTATATGGGACAGACCCATTCGCCTTTCAAGAACAAGGAATGCCATTACCAGCTGTATGATCTTGGAATAACCTATGGGTTTTTCGTAGAGATTGTTGGCTTGTTGCAATTAGTTCTAGTCTTGTATTGTTATATTGCCATTCGCATTTCAACTTGGCACTTTATGCAGAGACAGGGGAAGTTTCGAAGACAACAACTAGACAGGATGACCTCAAATCCTAGTGATTCTGTTAAGGATCAAGCAAAAAGAGCTGCGAAAAATGCCCAGATGAAGAAGCAACTTTCACGTACAGCTTTGACCAAATCAAATAGCAATTGCGTTGACGAAGAGAGCACAAAGGTGGAGTCTACAACAAAGGTGGGCTCTCTGAAAAAGCATTTTGGATCTAAGCGAAAAGATAATGGTGTTCCTATGCTAACTGAGGGTATGAAGCAAGTAGCGAAAATGGAGAAGATGATGGCAGTGCTGGTTCTCCTGTTTTATATAAGCTGGCTTCCATTCCTGGTAAGTTTTTAGTTCCTGTTCTAATCACAAGCCACAGAACTCCTTCAGGGTCTATTCAAACAGGATAACTAGGGAAAAATTGGCAATTACCCCTCTAGACCCAGTGTTCTTATATGACTATAGACTATCGCCCCTTTTTTAAGAGCAGATCTTGAATTTTCAGCTGTAAAGGCTTAGGAATCTTTCGCATCACCTTTGCAATTTCAGGAATTTTGTTTCGCCAAAATTGCAGTGAATATTCATAATCCTGTGTTTTTATTACCGTTAAGAATCTCCTCGGCATTGCGAAACTTTCCAGGTTTTTGAATTGCGAAACTCTCCTTGAAAGCAGCTAGCTGATACAGTTTAGTATATATTTAGAGCTCTTAGGAACCTTTGAAAGATAAGTTCAAAGCTGATAGTTACATACTTTAACACTAATAGTAAAATTGATTTCCCTTTTTGTTGCTTTTTTATTATTCTTTCCTTTTATTGGTTGCTCTTCCCCTCTTTCCTTCTCTTGGGTCTTGGCCCTCCTTTTTCAAGTTAAAAATTAATCCATGTTTTCTTTCATCGTGGTAACCTGCCTCTTGATAGCCTAGGCCCACAATGAGAATCGAAATAGGACCAGTGGACATCGTGCGTCATACGTTCAGCAAATATTCCTTTTTGTTCATAAGACCTATTTGAGAGCCGTTTCATGTTGCAAGATTTCTCCAACAACGAATCTATTTATTTGCAAAAGAAGACCCTTAGAAATAGTGGATCTGTGAAAGACATCGAGGATTATAAGTAGCAAGATTATATATCACTGTTTAGTTAAGTTAAACATTAGATAATACTTTTCTTAAATAAAGTTACACCTTGTGCAAGTATCAATGCAGTAGCAAAATTTGGACGGAGGATAACGATCGTCTTTATAGGAATAGAAAATTTAAAAGCGATTCATTTCATCCTTTATACTGGAGTGTTACTTTATGGCCTAGTCTAAGGTGAACAAGCAAGAATTTCTGCAAACTCTTTGAAACCAGCATAAATGCTGAAGAAATGCGATATGATCCCAAAACCCGAAAAAGGATGCTGGAAGGGAAAGATGAGAACCCTTTTGTCTTTTCCCAATCTTGGAGGTGTAATGAATGGAACGACAATAAACGCTATCTGCTTTTAATGTGGCTTCGAATCTTCAAAAATATTTCATTTCATTCGGTTCACAACCTCGTGTCATCAGGTTGCAACTCATTTTTGTCAGACGAACTGTCATTAAAGAATTTGGAAGGCCCGTCATGTTCATCATTTTCAACCAATTAGAAAAATGATAGGATTCTAGGCAAGGGTATAATCTTCAAATGGAGCAGATGTCGCTTTCAATTCCTTCTCATTTTATCGATTAAGCTTTTACATGAATAGATAGCTTTTCAAGAATTAAAAATGTGGTTTTTAATAGGCAGTTGGATTTGTCTTAAAATTAGCTGATGAAAATGTGTCGACAAATGGCAATGGAATGACACATCAGTAGCCTCAAATCGATTTTCTAGGTTTTTTTGGATGTCATTGATGAAATGTATGGCTTTCATCTTTCAATTTGTTGTTTCAGATCAAAAGTTAATGCCTATACTTTGCTTCCCTTTGAGTTATATTTGGTTTCATAACTTAGACTTTACTGTATACTTCCAATGTTTAGGAAGTTCGTCTCCTGATGTTATGAAATAATATATGTGATAATATATAATAATATATGAAATATACACTCACCTATGACAGACAGTCCATTCTACTAAGCTAAAACCTTAATAGCCAATGGAGGTAATGTTGAAAAATATATTGCACTGAAAAGTTATGAAGGGACAAAAATGGGACAATTTTTCAGGATGAGTCCAGAAAATGTCTAATCCAGAGGAGTTTGTGCCTCATAACTACTTATTACTGCTGGTTACTTCATTTGTGATTTTATTTGTTACTGTTTGTCACTACAGTTTACTAATTGTTTATTAAGCTTTTGCTAAACCCATTGATTTCATTGTCTAACAGTAAGGCATTGGAGCAAAGTAGTTAATAGCCTTGTAAATGCATCAAATATCGTTGTGAAATGGTTTCAAAATATTATACATATGTCGTGGATAGTTGTTGATTCCTTGTTTTTGTCTAGTCTTATTCAACCACTATCTACAATGCCTGCCAATAATCTTAGAACACTGACATCAATTTCCAAGGTCAAAATCAATCATCCCTTCTCCCCTACAGAACAATGTTGGTTTACTATCAAACGGGTTAGGATTTTAGGAAGCACTTTCTTTTGTGCTTCTTTTATGTTTTTTCTCTAAATCATCAACATTGTTTTCGGGGGAAGGGGGCGGAAGTAGCAATTTTTTTTCATGAAAGGAATGAAAGATATCAAATGCAGCGTAAATTGCTGTGTATTCCAAGTACTTTTGGCAGGCATCGTAGGTGTTTCTTTCCCTTGCTAAAACACTTCTACTTTATTTTGCAGGGAAGCAACCTTTTTTCTCTAGTTACTGGAAAATCAAATCAAAATGTCATCAGAGTTATTGGAGTGTTTTCCTTGATTAACGGATTTTTAAATCCAATAGTCTATGCGACAATCTACCCAAGATACAAGAAAGGATACATCTTTGCGTTTCAAACGATTCTTAGAGTTTGCGGCGGCCGAAAACCGACCCTGACGACAGCAGATTTTAGTAAGTCTTGCTTACGTCTTCAAAGTTTTTAAGGCGAGAAAATCAATGATTTGCTCTGTAATCTCTTTGAAAAGCCTTCCATGATCTGATAATTCGATTCTCTCATCTTTCCGACACGTGCGTCATTCATATTGTTGTTGTTGTCAACCGCCTCACAACAACATCTTGGCTTCTGCTCTATTTATTTATCTAATTGGGTAGTCTCATTTGCATGGGAAAAGAAAGAATATTAACTTCTCGAATCTCTGACAGAACCTTTTAATAAGTAACATTGCTTGAAGAGAGTAGCTCTTTGTTTACCGAACCTTCAACTTTCTTTTAAAAATTTGATTTTTCATCTTTCTTTTCGGCTCTTGCTGCTATTTTATTCCATTATACAGTACTGATCAAATGACGCGATCAAACGTAGAGTACTTGGCTCCATAGATATTTTTCTCCTGTTTAACAGATAGTTTATTGCAAAGCGATGAAGGATAAAACATATATATAGTGAAGAAAATAACTTTTTGAAATGAAAAAAAGCAAAGAAGAAGTTAACAGTTGTAATGAATCATGAATGAAATCGGACATTGCCAACCTAGCGTTTCAGGAATCTGGCAATCATTGGAACATTTCTAGTAGGCCTGTTGCATCTTATGAAAGTCTGCTTTGTAAAAACAAAAGCATATTCCGAGAAAATTCTCGCATGCTTCTACTTAGCATCCAAAGGCAGTTTTTAAGGACTTTGAGAAGCCAGGCTTATCAAGCATTGTCCTGGCCCATTGCTATTCTCTCAATGCGTGCGCGTCTTCAACATTTTCATGCTGACGCCAATTTGTCCATGTCGAATTCTTGTTAATTTATGCGAAGATATTCCTGTAAAATTTTCCCATCTCGCGTCACATCTTTCATGAATTCAAAAATTTCCTTCGAAATGTGTTTTTATTTTTTCCATGAATTTTTTGCGGGTAGTTTCTTCTAGGAATGTTTAGTTTGTTATTTAATATTATTATTATCTCTCAAGGAGTAAAGGACTGTAAGTTTTGGCATATTGTTTGTCATAATTTACAATTTTGGTATGTTTGTTTCATTCGACAAGTTTCCATCCAATAACTAATACATTTCAAATCATGTGTTCCTAGATTCTTCTAAAATTGGCAGATCAAGGCGACTGCGAACATTGCGAGAACTGAAGTCGAATGCCAGTATGACATCAACAGCCACCTTAAAGGAAGATGAAACACCTTATCATCGAGACATCGAGCGGAATAAAATTGTAAATGATGTGATCTTGGAAGAGCTTCCGCCAGAATCGAGGACTGTGAAAAACTTGAAAGGGAGCAATGAAAATCCATGCAATATTGAAAATGAGTCAGGATGTATTTCAAATGAGTTTACGGACAATAATGGTAACGCTTTTACTAGCAATAGGGTTTTATCGCCCAGAGGCGTGCGTCTAACTGACTGTGTTGAGAAAAATGAAGAAAATCATGCTCTCGCTGAACATGTAACTGTAGAAAAACAATCTGTTGAAGTGAATATTTTTTGCAGCAATCCAAAACGAGACCACACAACAGAGCCTCGTGATGATCAGAACACATTTACGTTGCCTCATTCTACAAATAGTGAATGTATGACAGTAGCTAAGGGTGGTGTTTTGTGTATGACCAACGATGAACTTGATCCAGACAGAAAGTCTTCTCCGATCAACTTTTTGCCAAGTAACTTAGACTCACATTATCACAGCGTGGATGATTCGTCGTCTGTTGTAAATAGACTTGCCAAACTTAGCACTCCTCTCCATCAGCAAGGAGACAGTGACTCTGTCACTACGCACCAGCTTGGTATACAAAACGACGGTTTCACTTGAAATTTTAACTTCCATATTATTTAAATTACATTAAATCTTTCAGCCTATTTCTTTTTTGCAAGTTTCGAATGAGGTTGAGCAATGTTGTTTTTTATAAATCGCAATTTTCTAACATATCTTCAAACAGGCGTTTAGAAAGAGGATCAAATATTCAGGCCTTTTTGCATTCTCTGTTTGTCCCCTTCTTTATTCACAGATGTGTATTTTATTTAGTATTGTTCAAACGAAAAAAGAGATAATAGGCAAACATCTCTACTAGTGTATTTTTGCATAACAAGTTTTTGCATTCTTTCCTTGGCATTTTACTAAAAATATTTGTTCGAACATGAAGGAAAATTATAGTTGTTTTGAAAGAGGCTTCGATTAAAGATCAATTTCAAATCTGAGTTACAAATCAAAAAATAAACTGTTTTTTTATCCACTTTGATTTCCAGTTTTCATTACACAACACCTTATTTAAGTAAGCGACGAGGGTCATCTGTGTATTTACATGATTATCTATATTAAATTTGGGCTAATCATAAACAAAGCAAGAAAATTGAGATCAAAGCTCCCCACCCTCTCCCTCCTATGGCTTGGGCCTTGGTTGTTATACACACATAAGTATTTTATCTTTTCTTTGCGTTGAATATTATTCAAACAGAAGGAAATAAAAATTGTAACTGTGTTTATACTTTTTGCTTTATGTGATTTACCTTGTAAGTATTGCTTATTATAACTTTGCAAGAAAGACATTTTAAACTAGAAAGCGTTTTATAATCTTGATATTTAACAGGAAATGTAATATTGTAGATAATGTCAATGTAGCAATGTACTTTTTTCTTATCAATAACGCATTTTATATGATTTCCCGTTTTCTGACATCTTTTCTTTACAGAAACAAGCAAATTGTGCTAAGCTTAATAAATATAGGATGCAATTCTACCCATGACTTTTCCATTATTAGTGCCTATGACATACGAGCTGCAAACGTTATTCCCACGCTTTGTTACTTTCTGAACATAGAATAAAAGTGAGATTATTTCCTTCTAATGTCACTAAAACTATGCTGCATTGTACTAGAGAAGCTCTGAGAATGTTGTGCACACTGAGGCAATATTAGCAAATACAATGCAAAAAATTGTTCTTACTACTTTGCTCTCGTCTCGTTCAGATGCTCCCTATCTGCTTTTTCCAGCGGTAATTCTCAAGAAAGAACAGGGAAAGGGACCCTCTCTGCTCATTTCCCGTAAGCCCCTAGCCCCCACTATTATACCCCTGATGCTTATCATCATAAAGGTCTATTTTGAGACTGTGATTCAGTTCTGAAAACGTAGCTCTTTTATGGCTCATACATTTTCTCTTTAAATTATAGACTCGGGTATGTACTTAATATGCAGTCATTTAATCGAGTGACAGAACCACACAAGCGAGAAAGGTATGTAGTTGAATTGGCTACTTTCCTAATCATGTTGTTTTAGAAAAGGAATCACTCTAAAGAATTAATAAATCTAAAAAATAGTATTTTTCACTTTCACACAACAGGTAAAGTCTTCCAAAGAGTATGCAGTAGCCTGTTAGTAAGGTTTACTTTATTGTCAAGGACTGAAAAGTGAAAAATGGTGGGTAATATTGCCAAATAATCAATTAAAGTAACAATTTCTGCCGGAATACTTAAACCGAGCAATGTTCCCATACGATAAATTCAGTTCAAGATAAACAAGAGAAAAAGAAACTGGTTATGATTTCAAGGTTCTCTCAGCCAGTCGTCTTAGGAAACAGTGAATCTACAATCGAGATTCCAAATAAACAACTACAAAACGATATCCATAATATATTCTCGAAAAAACATTTAAAATTCTAATTCCGTACACGCGTTCGTGTTTAAATCGATCAACAAAACAATATACATCCCAGCAATAATCCAACAATAATAAATCAATGAATTTTGACTTTAGAGAGAGTTCTTCTCGAGGGGCATATCACTCCACGACACTCTTGTACGCTTTAGGAGAGATCTTTTGTTTTTGAGAAAAATCCTCCAAGAATCCCTAAAACTCCTATCCATCTGGTACACTGTTTGAAGATAGTAATGCACCCCTCGGTTCTTCAGTGCTACTTGAAACCTAGAAGCATTGCACAAAACATTTATCTGAGACATGTCAACCGACATATCATTCAGGTACTTTCATTTCGAAAAATGAAATGCCTGAAAAAATTACTGCAGCTTTTCAAAATAACTTTAAGCCACTGGAATCATAATTTTGAATTTACCATTTTTCTGGATACTACTCTTTTTGTTACCTCTTTCTCCAAAAGCTTGATAAATTATAAAAATGATGTGCAAGCAAACAAAAGATTTAAAGTTAAAATCATATAATGCAATCGATGAATTATCATTGTCCAATTTTCAAGGAATTTCTCTTGACGATAACGTAAAGTACGTTACCATCCGTCGTCAGTATTGCATCTTAAAACAATTATTATCCGCAGAGTACAAAGCTATATCTTTTTGCTGAATGATAATCAGTACATATTTTTCATGTGAACGTTGAAGACCTTTGTCGAGTACTGAAATTTTCTGCTCCGTTTTTGCTGACAGTTGCTTCACTATCTTCATCTTGTGAGGCAGCCCTAGTTCTGCGATCATCCAGACTCCGCTGCTTTATCCCCCTTCGATAAATCATCCGCTCCAAGCTAGGACTAGATTGGTTTCTATATTTTTGGCTTTTGTTCTGTATGCGTTTGGGGGGATCGGTGTCAATCGTGTCGTCAAGCGAAAGCAGGCTGCGAGATCTGATTACCTTGACGTGGTCGTGAATCTCGCTGATTTTTCCGTATACGTCAGCACATCGATTTAATAAGTACTTTGTTTTTCTGCTGTAAGATGCATCGGATGTCGTGCGAGTTAGTGGAACATTTGTATCTTTCGTTATGTCTCTAATTTTCGGTTTAGCTTTTCTATTTTTAGTTGCCGAGTGAACCGTAGAGATAATTCTAGCAGTTGAACTGAAATTTAACCCATTGGAGGTTCCAGGTAAAGATGGAAGTGTCGTGCTGTCTCCGCTTTCTCCCTTTGATGGAGTAGCCTTGCTTTTCCATGCCAGTTGTACAGTCGTTTGAATATTACCGTTTCCATACGTCAGTATCTTTTCCTGTATTTCCTCGCTATCGTTACCGCTTGCTTCGACTTCTAGCCTTTGGAAAGAGCTCATAACATTTTTCATTTCCTCTGACATCCTTGGCACATTTTTATAGTTTCTTGGTCTTGCACTGAAACACACTATTCCAGTTGTTTGGGAAGGCAGTTTCACCTGTTTTACTGAAACATACTCGCTTTTCACGTAGCCCATGTCGCTAACTTCGTCCATGATCCGCACTCGTTTGCGTTTTTCTGCAGGCAAATCAGTTGTCATCTTACTTATCTAAAATGAAAAGGCAACAAAGAAACTAAATAATAGTCGTATTCCGTGAAGGCTTTCTATTCTTTCTGCTTTGACGCAACCAAATAATAGTGCATTTCCATGCGTTTTAGCTGCTTAGAGCCTGCCATTCCACCTTGAGATTTTCACAATTTTGCTTTATCCTTTTGCGAAAAGAGACCTGTTTGTCATAGGTCGCAGTAACGAGAAATAATCAAAGTCAATAACAGAGCATCTTTTGAGAATGGATTTGCGAACAACAGCCGATGGACTTCTCGAAATTAATTCAATTCCCTCAAAGTGGACAATGAGCGGCAACAAGTAGTATTTTGATCAACAATAGCATGCAGGAAAGTTCATTTAATTGAACACGCAGCCGAGTGAAGCAAGCTATAAAGAAGAAAAACTGCGAGACTTGGCTTGAACTGCAAAATTGCTCGAGTTTTCTACAATTTTTCTGAACCACCTGCGAAGATAATTTATTATAGATGTCAAAATGCTATCAATATATAATTTTTAATTAAAATATTGAGCATAAACTACTAGCAACATATAATTTAGTTCTACGGCCGAGTCTACATCTCAATTATTCGGAAAATGATAATCGATATGGCTCGCATTACCAAACCAAATTATGGTTCGCATTAACAGGTAGTTCAAATAGCTGCATATATCACCAAAATATTTGAATGTAAATGCTTCAATCAACTAGACATCACTTCTACATTTGAAGACAAAAATGGCTGCATTGTTTCCTTGTAGTGTTGTTGTTTGAGCAAGTACCGAGAATGCCAAGCAACATAACAGTGCCATCTGCCTTCCATTTGTTATTTCCACGTTACTTTCACAGAACTCCACAAGACACAGGCTCTCTGTTGAGAGAGTTGATAAAAAACAGCAGTGCTTTGGCTGAACAATCAGAAGGTTGTGGTTCTAATATCGTAGCACTTCTTAAGCCGATATAAGGGAAAACAACTCCATGCAGAATATGTTATGCAACTACGAACTTGTTTTAACGTGTCAAATAGAGACTGCTGTGAAGAATTCGACTTTTCACCTCGTTATTGTCTTCTTCAAACAGAATTGTCTAATCTGCCACTGTTCTTTCATAGCATCCAAATGTTTTTCCAGCCTTTATTTTAACCAAACTGAGACCAGATGCTTGATAATTTGAGCTTTGTTATTGCTGAAGCTGCGAAAAGATTGTAGTTTTGGATAGCATAAAAAACTGAAGCATTTTACTTACATACCCTTGATGAAAGTGGTTCTCTTCAGTACTGGAGTTGACATTTTTCAGTACAAAAAGAGTTTTTCTGTGCATTTGTGAAGTAAGATTCTTAATCCAAAATAATAGTATCCCATTTATTATGAAGAATATCGATCCGAAAGAATTATGTTGTCAATTTTAGAAAAGTCAGAAAATGACAGAACACAAACTCAATTAAAGGGATAAAAAATACTGCCTAACTCTTTGATCGACTCGTTGCTAGCCTGCGTGCAGACTCTGTTGACAAAATTGAAAATAGGAAAAAAATAAGGTTCCTCAAAATCAAGGAACCGAATTTGATTGGTTTGGGGAATCTCATTTGTTTTCTTTCAGTTTTTAAAGTGGCGCCTTCGAGCAGAAGTATAAATGAATGGTATCAGGATGATGAATAGGTCTGTTTGCTCTTTTGAACAACTAAAATTACAGAAAAACATTGCACGCTAATGAAGTTGTTGTTCTAGTGCTTAAAATGAAATGTTGATGTCAGCGAACAAGAAAAGCGGCTCTGTTGCGCAGACTCTACGCACGCAGGCTAGTCGTTGTAAAATCACAATATATGATATCCTATTCAAAGAATTTCAGGACTGCGCGAATTGACACATACGCTAGTCTGCTGTAAACACAGTTGTACATAAACATGCGCCTTGTCTAAAAAATGTTATGAAAGAAGCAATTAGCCACAAAATTAAGAAGCGGCACAATTTGTCAAAGAATTTATTTTTCACTTCATAACATTTCTATGCATAGAAGTTGACAGAGCAACAGACTTTTTTCAATTATAGCTGTGCCCAGTAGCGTAACCAGGGTGGTAAGATTAGAGGTGGGGATTCGAGTTCAACAAAAGAAAATTGGGGGTCCACACATTTTGAACGCCAGAAAACGCCCTTTTTCAAAGAGTTTTTTGTCATCGTAGAGGGGGGGACGTCCCCCTCCTCTTGTCTCCCCCTCGCTATGCCACTGGCTGCTCTTCTTATGTAAATTTCCACTCCATTTAAGTAGCAAGTAAGAATCATAACAACAATTGAAAGCAGCAAAATGGTTCGGTTGCTGGGTCGCAGACAAAAACGAGTATCGGTTTTGATGAGGATGCAGGACTTTCTGTTGCATAAATTTAACATAAAATCGGATACCACCCAACTCCAGCATTCAGGGGCTTTTAAGGAGCATTCACTTGTTATTTCTCTTCATCTTAACTCAAAGCTGTATGCTTTACATATGTAAGCGATCTACAGCTTAATTCGAATAATTGCGGACCTTAGAACCGTTAATATATGCATCATTGATAGAAGTGTTAAGAAATGTTTTCTCTCATACGTTATGTCCTGGTTTTTTAACTTCAATTCTTTAAGATTTTTCCAGGCTACAATAAATTAGCTAATCGAAGAACCTTTGTTTTCATTAAGCTAAGAGGCATAAAATAATGAGAAAGACATTACAGTAACGGAACAAATGAAGCAAAAAAACAAAGAAATAATGGAAAAGTTTTGGTTTAGACACTCTGTTCAAATTTAATTACCCGCTTCTAAAGCATTTTTATAAGCAGCAAATATTTAGACTGCCAACTTTATACGTAGCTATGCAAATTAACTGAGATTAAAATTTTCTTTAAAAAAGATTTGCATGAAGCTGGCTATAAAAAACGACTGCCAAATATTCTGAAAATATAAAAACCCCTCGATATTGGATGCAAGAAAATCATATCAATTGAATTTGAAAAAATGTAGAATTTTCCGTCGATTTGAATGGCTGTTTGGCTTTCTTATCTAGTCGCAATCAAAAATTTTGAAAGTCTCACAATTTCTCAACAAATAGTATCATATCTCATACTTTTGGTAGTTTATAACATTCTAAAACAGAAAATAACAGTAGATGTTAAGTTAGTGGGCCATCAATGGCAAAGCTTCATAATGGGAAAATGTACCAGCGAGTGTGTCACAATGGTCGATTTTAGGTCATCTTTGATTTCTTGTTCACGTCAATAGACTGCCAGGCGGATCGAGATCAAATTTTCACATACTGGCAGGTGATGCGTTTAAATATTCGATTGATCTTGGTAGGTTTCTTTATTCCGGAAACTTTAAATCAAATTAGGCACCTGCTTTTTTTCGAAAAAGAGCAGCTTCAAACCTTGCCAAATCTAATTTAAAGACATAAAGATCTCTTTGCGAAATATGCATTTACATATTGGTGTTGTTTCTGATAATAAGCTAACAATCTCCTCTCACATAAAATATTTCATCCATAAAATGAACAAAGAGATAGAAATGTCCAATCCTTTTTCCTGCTACCCGCTACGCTATTCAAACCATCAAATTTATAAGTTGCATGGAGGATCTTAATTGTTCACTTTAACATAGTTTGCCATGTTCCAGTTAAAGGAGATGACTCACGTGGTTGGTCCATTTTTCTAAAATTATTACCGTAGCTTACCCTACCGTATTGGCCTTACCTTAACCTTACTTTTGTTCATTGCTTTCAAGGAGAATTAATAAAAAAAGCCCTTAGAACAAAAACAGTATCCCAATTCCAAAAGCGTAACGGATGCTTGCAAAAAAGGTTCTACCTATTATATCAATTCTTGGCACTTTATGTAAGCTCACACTTTTGTTAATAAAAGTCAATTCCATGATTTCGGGCCAGATTTATCAGTTTAATAAAACGTATAAAAGATAAACATTCGGCATAAATGAGTATTCAGTTGTGCTTAAAGAAACTCAAATGAAAGTAGGTTCAAGTCTCTTTCGAAAAGAATTTTTAACACGCAACGTCTTTAATACAGCTGATCAAATTGTTTAGCAAATAACCGTATTGACATTAACACCCATTGTATACTGCTCTTCCTTGAAAACACTATCCATAGAACTGTGTTCCTTGATAAAGTAACTTCTATTTTTCTATCCACGGGCTATGCTCGAAACGTCGTTAATTATTTCAAATAAATTTTCCTGGTACAATTAACTTACATTGATCGTTATTTGAATTCATCATATTGTACCGCACGCATTTTAGTATATTCTATTTTTCTACCCTATAGAGTGAGCTGCAACGATGTGCTCACCCTCCTTCGCTATAATTGTTTTTGGACTACAGAAGTCTTCTTATGCCAACTTTCCACTTGCACACCCGCTAAAACAGTTAGTGTCTCGTGCTTTTCTCCCTCTTATAATGACAAACTTAAAACAAAAGTATTCTCTTTGCAACAGTCAGTCACTTTAATTCAGCCAGATTGATTCGAGCTGCGCTCCCATTTCCCCATTTCAGCGGCAACGAATGGAGCGGGGGATGTTAAATATGATTGAATATTGATGTCACACCCTTCAGGTCCTGAAAAATAACGAAAATGCACAATTTCAAAAATTCAACTTTAAGTTAAAGAAGATAAAAACGTATATGAAGTTATATTTGCACCATACTGCTTCTTGTGGAAACTAAATAATGCTTTTTACCGAATCAAAGTAGAATTCACCGAGAGACAGAAAAAAATTGAGAGGGGGGAGGGAGGGGGGGGGTTGCACACCTAACAGCCCCGGTTAATCCACCCCATGTTATAATCGTATTGCTAACGCAGTTTATGGCGGCTTAATTTTTGAATTGTGTAAGCTTTACTTTCCTTATTTTTCTTGTCTTTTTATTTATATTCATGAAATAAAGACTTTTGCCATTCAGGGTTGCCAGACAGGCAGGCAACTCAGGCGAAAATGCTCATAAAAAGGCTAAATTAAAAATATTTCCAAAAAATACATTGCGCAAGTGCTGTTTATATTTTTATGCATGGGTCTTCTAAATAATCTCTTCACTTAAATAAGAACCTTACTTTTTCTTTAAAACAATCCTTATCTGATGGTTAAGGACTATTTTTTGTGACCAATAGGTTAGAATATTTTACTTTTGGCGCAGTAAACTACTAATTTCTCCGTTTATGTAGTTATTACTCTTTCAGTTTTGAATTTCTGTCCAAATGGCCAAAAAAGGCCAAATTTAAGTGGTACGCCAAAAACAAATTTTCCAGGCAATATAACAATAAAAGGCCAAAATTTGAAAATTTGGCCCAAAAGGGCCAATCTGGCAACCCTGTTTCCATTGTATTAGTTTCTTTATACGACCCGATATGTTATACGATCGATCATATTGACATTAAAAGCAATAGGAAAGTTCCATTGATCTTCAAGAATACTTTTAAAGAGAGTTATGTGGTAGTTACTAAACATGGTACTAAATTTTCCAACCTCAACAAATTTCACCTGAGCGAGGCTGCATAATAATAGCTGCAAAAACATTGAAAGACTGGCCACAGCAGAGTAAGACAGCATCATGTCCAAGAGATGAAGATTCCTGATGTTTTTCAGAGAAATTCTCATAAGACGGTAAATTTCAACTTATTTCACATGGTTAAATTCATTGCAGGGAATACAGGAATGGTGAGTTTTTATCAGGCCGAAAAATCAGGCCGCAAAGAGGGTTGAAGTTAAAAATATGAATGGTAAAAATTATCTATTCTGTTTGTGCATATCGTCATCCAAGCTCAGATATTGATAGTTTCAGTGAATATCTGCAAGAAATTCTGTCCAATCCAGTGGTAACTAATAAACAAGTTTTTATTCTTGGAGATTTCAATGTAAATCTTCTGAATTATAACTATCACCCACAGGCGCGGATCCAGCCTGAATTCTGACCTATGCAAGCAAAAGTTGTCAGAAGAAGAAGCCACGCCCTTTTGTGCTGAAAACACCCAAACTTTTCTCAATAAAATTTTTATCTCTGATTTATCTCAGAAAGGAATTCTAAGGAAACGACTCGCAAAGAGAAGACTAAATTTATCTGCAATTCGAAGGAAAAAGGTATCGAGAAAACCTACTCAGGTAGGATTCGAACTGGGGCCCTCCACTTTTCAAACACAGTGGTCATATCACAAGAACACAAAGCAGACGTTCCTTCCTTAGCAGATTAGCAGGGGGTGAAGCAGCAATTGTCAATTGCCATTTCATTGGCTGTAACAAACAATTGCATAGGTCCACTGTAAACAATTGAATAGGTCTACTCTGATTCTCAGGGTCATTCCATGTCAAATCATCAGACCCATGTAACCCATGGTCTTAGAATTTCCTGATTTTTTTACCAAAAAAAGCCATTTTGGAGAAAACAGCACATACAAAATTTTATTCTTATATCTCTTACGGTTGCGATTTTATAGCCGTTTCAAAAATGACCCGTTTTAGCCAAATATGCCACACCCAGTTTACCAAGCGATAGGCGCGGCTTTCTATCAATAGCTGTAACTTTTCTATAGTTGTAAATATTTGCTTGAAAATAATGTAAATTATTGATTTGATACTGTAGATTTCAAATATTGCATCAGAATTTGACAATTTTCTAAGGTGAAGCAGATAGTCATATGTTAAAGGTTATCACTTGTTTTGAAAATATTCCCAACCGATGTATATAAATATTGAAAAAAAGTCCTGTAGCTGGAATCATAGCATTAGAAGCTTGCTATATTCTGAAAGTGTATTCTTTGGGCTATCAGAAAATGTTTAAGATTACAATTGCAATTGAAGTATTTTGAGTTAATTGCACCTTACAAAATGGGTATAATTTTGCAAGAATCGTGAGCAAAAACAAATTTGTAATTAAGGTAATATTGCATGAAATAAAAATGGCTGCTAAAAACATTGAATCAATCATGATTTCACATTCAGAGACAACAAAGAATAATTAAAAATTATCCATAGCCATGGACAAGCTGAGATACTGCTTTATAGTCACTGTAGCTGAAGCTCTAAGTTTGACCGGTAATTGTTTTGGATGAATCAGTTTCGCAAAGCATGTAAATGTGATACCCAGCATATTTCTGATCTGCTTGATCATGTAAAGTTCTGAGTGGGTTCAGGTGGGTGCATGAAGTTCATTTGAAAGTCCCCTTCATCTTCATTAATGGAATAGGAACCCACCCGTCATTGTCATATAGGCAAGCAACATACTTTATCGTTCGAGTCCCAATGCCATTCTCTCCCTTCTTAGAAAGAAAAGCAAAGTTTCCTGCAAAGTCTCTGTCATCAGAAAATTACTTGAACCACTTAAAATTACAGAGGCAAGCTCCGCTTCTGATTTGCTAAATCAAATCTCACCTATGCTCCTGCCAAAGATTGCAGAGATGAAGTACACTCTGATTGGCTTACAAGACGTTTGCAGAGGTCAAGCAAGCGATGATTGGCTCTCGAAGAACAAACAAGTTTCTGGATTTGGAAAATACGAACCAGATAAATGCCTAGAATTGCCACTTGACTTTTCTGTGTAGAGGCCGTAAGATAGTCAGCAAAGTGTATGCCCTGCTGTCTTCTGCATGTTGTTGGTATCAACAGGGGCGGATCTAGGGAGGACATTGCTGAAGAATTTGCCAAAGAAACTATTGATTAAAAGTTTTGATAGTTTTTATTTTATTTTGTTGTTGTGAAAATCTGACTTATGCTTCTGCATAGGTTGCTGTAGTCTGGATCCGCCTCTGACCCACCAACTACTAATTATGTTACTTTCCTTTTCTTTAAGCAATTTCTTCCATGTATCATACATCCATCTCGGGTATCTGAAAACTCTTCCACTCTCATTGACAATATCTTTTCCAACATTTATGATAATGAAACAGTGAGTGGTAGCATTTTGACTAATATAACCGAGTTGACAGGTCTGCCTTAAGGTATATTATTTACAGATGAGCTGTGTAGGACACTGCCTGCCTACCCCTAGAGAATGTTATAACAAATTGTGTGTACACATAAATTTCATTGAAGTGTTTATGTCACACAATGGGGAAATTAGGTTCAAAAGCACTTTGTCCCCTCAGTCAACCATTCAGGGATAAGTGATGGGGCTTGATGGATGGATAGCAATATTGTGTTACTATCTGATGTGTTTTGTGTTTGTCCCACAGCCACTTTTATAGAATTTGGGAAGAGATGATATCCAAATACGAAAATGATGGGACAATTTTCGTTGGGCATTATCCAACAGCAACAAAATCTCAGAATTTACCATTGTTCACTAATGATTGAACTAATTATAGGTTGGGGGTGGTGCCCCTTACATCACCCACTACCCTTCCCTTCCCCACTTCCATCATCCCATTTTTTCTCCACTGCGCTGCATTCACACCATTCAACATCCACCAATCCGGCACCACCATCTCACATTTCAAATCCATTCGCTTGTTTGTTTCATTTACTCTGATGAAGCCCTGTATGCAGGGGCGAAATATTAGTATACTCCTTAATTTTAATTTATTTTTAAAATTTAATCTCGTTACATTGGATTTTCGTTTTTTGTTTGCTTTGTTCCTGAATATCTTTCCTATTCTAGTTAACTTCTTATGTTTTTAGGCTCATTAATAGTGTAAAAGTACAAAGATTAGGACTCAGCTTATTACACATACTCCCCTTTTATCTTTACTCAGTTCTTGTCATTTTCTTTGCTGTTTATTGTTGCTGGAATTTCTTTAAGGTAACAACTGATGCATTTTAAACCTTTTTCAGGGAGATCCACAATGAACAGTGTCAAAGCAGCCCAACCAGAAATTATACGATCCCATCAGAAAGATGAATTTTTCCAAGTAAATCTTAGAAATGAAGTTTCAAGAATAGTAATTGACTGGTTCGGTAAGTTTGTTGTTTAAGTCTTATCACAATTTTTAAAAGTATTTGAGATGCTTTGGAACAGTCAGTTCTGCAAACATGATTTTTTATGTTCTTAAAAAGATTTTGTTTTGTATTAATTAGAGGGGCTGGAGGGGATGTCTTTCTCTCATAAAGAAAACAAATTGTTTGAGAGTCTTTGAAAATTTTTCTTGTAGCCCCCCCCCTAAAATTCAGCTTTACCCCTTGCTTATGTTTGTGGTCTTTTTGCCAGAGCTGTCCAAAGCTTTTATTGACTTTTTCCTAAAATTTTTTTGGTTTCCTATTTCTTTTTTCTATTATTTATTTTGTCTTGTTTCTCTGTTTTGGTCTGGATTTCTCTTGATTTTGGTGAATCAGCAGATAAAAATGGGATCAAAAAAGCAAGTGTTTGCAGAAAATTTCCCTCAAAGATGTGTAACATTCAATAACTTGTTATACAGTAGCAACCATACCATTATAAAACACAGTAATCAAACAAGCAAATAAATTTGCATACACTTCATCTGGTTGACACATATTTTGTCCAGCAAGTGCACTGACAGCTGACCAGAATAAATGGTCTTGAAGAATTCTATACCAAGCACGTCTTATGCAGTCTTTGTAATATGGAGATAGGCCGCGTGCAGTTCGCACGTCTTGACTACTTGACTACTTGACGCGTGCGATGGTGTGCGATATAGAACTATAGGGTACTGCTTTCAAGGCTGCAAACAGAACAGAAACCAAGGAAATTGACGGAGAAATTGTTCTTGTTCTTCTTTAAAGATGTTAAATTTAATTAGTTAATAAATTTTCTAGGAAGTAATTACAGGATATTTCTGTAATCTTTTAAAGATATGCAAACAATCCTTTGGTGTTACAAAAGTTGAAAAAAGTGCAATTGCTCGTAGAAATTACCATGCATTGTCGATAAATTACCATGCAGCATCACTGATTTCAGTATCATCGTTAACGTAGCGGATATCATGGCAGATATTCTTAAAAAATATCTAACTATTTGATCGGTGTAACTTTCACGATAATATGGAATTCAGCGAACAATCGAACGAAAAGGAATGGGCAGAGAAATGACACAAACGTCGAAATAAACACACTTTCTTTGAACGCAAAAACCTCATTTTACAGCTCTTAATATTAAAAATCGTTCTATAACAGTTCAAATAATTAAAAAACAGTAGTCATCGCCCCTCCTTCCTCAGAGCTTTCTCTAGTTTCCTCCTCTTTCTCTGGCTTAGGTTTCTTCGATATACCGATAACATTATCAAGCTTTTGCTTTTTGCTCTTCGAAAGGTAGAGCACCGTGCCCTTTTCAAGATATTTTATTTTTCCTGTCAGTCCATATATTATCATTGATTGCAATAAGAAGTGGCATCTCCATAACACTGTATGGCATTTGTAGTCGTCTGATAATTCCATTCTTTCCCCCAACCAATAAATGTCGCCAGCTCCACTTCGTTTCCTTTCGCCATGATCACCGAAGAACAGAATAATCAGGTGAACAGTGAAGACAACTCTTGGATCGAACCTATAAATCGCCGAGTTTTAAAGGTTAATGAAGCACCAGGTGGTGATTGCAGATTACTCCCCCTTGGCACCCCCTTGGTTAAATAACTGTTATGTTAAGCGATCTTTTCGTAACTACTTTGTGACGCCATTGCTGAATTCCGTATGGGAGTGCTTTAAGAACACCTTGGAAGACGACAGAACTGTCTTTGAATTTGGCGGCTTTGACTTTTACCGCTGCTTTAAAAGTCTTCCAAACATAAGCGATGTTTTATGGAAAATTCTTTGTTTTGCGCGTGCGTTGATTTGCACGCCTTGGACAATTTGGGCTTGTGTGGAGGCGATCGCACACCTCATATTACAAAGACTGCTTATGGCTAGAATTTTCCATCATCTAGCTCCTATATATGCTGCACCATTGATGCTACAATACTTATCAGTTCAACTATTGGTGCTGCTAGCAACTTGTCTTTGCAAGAGATGGCAAAAGATTGCAAATTTTAGGAAACCCTTTTTTTCACTATCAGAAAACGCTCTTTTACCAACAGGAAGCACACATTTTATCAAAAGAGAGAACTAATGAATAATTTTTGGCTACGTATAAACAGTTTCAAAGTCATAGCACTGATAATACTTTGCCAAATATCACCCCCTCCTCTTACATTCTTACAATAGATTTAAATGAAATAGAAAATAGTTTTTGGGGGACATATCTTCTATTCCACTCCATGATGCTGCCATCATTTGTAGCAGTTAGTAACCAACTAGCATCTTTTTTAGGAACCCAAAGATGGATCAAATATCAGAAGGAACTTTCAATAATGGCAGATATTGCATACTTTTGTCTCACAACTTTATCAGGTGAGATATCAATGACCTGAGCATGAAAGCCTTTATATAGTCTTCAAGACTTCTTATTCACATATATTATTGTTCTTGATATAGTAGTCTGTTTGAACTTAAAAAACTATTAAGCTCACTTACAGTATAGGAATTTCCATTAACCTTTTAATCAACCCATCCAAAATTGTATGCCCTGAGTAGTATCAAACAAAAATACTTCAGTATAATGCATTGAACTTTTTACTTTTCGTTACATTTTGAAATTGCATAGTATATGCATATAAGGATAAAATGTCAGGGCAGTCTTCTGTTGGTCTGAATTTTTACCTTGTTTTTTGAGTCTCTTTCACATATTTGGTTTTTGATACTATCATATTTTCTGAGGGCAATACACCGCAATGCTATATCTTTTCTGCCGCTTACCTTGTATAATGTGATGTAATTTTAAACTTTGAAATTTTCTTTTTTAGGCTTCCAAACTCTTGGTGAAGAATATTGCAATCTTGTACAAATTGACCAAAATAAAATGAAAATTCCATCCTTATTGGTGTGTATTAAAGCGCTTAAAAATAATTACAAGTTTTGTTTTTTTGGACCTGAGTGAAATGAGAATCATTATTTTAAATTCACATCAGTTCGGACTGGAACCTGTGAAAAGCTGGTATCTTCATTTACCAATAATGGCAACGCCATGTACTTGTATTGCAGGTTAAAATTTTGCTTGAAAGGTGAACAGACACGCAAAAGTATTTTTTGATATAATGCAGAAAATGATGCATGGAAGCTTAATTTCAAGTTTTCGGTTAATTATTATTGTCCGTTTTGACGCAATTCCGCTCTAAATGTCATGAAATTATCGTTGAGTGTTCGACCATTGTCGGCATTTCATGTGACCCAGTGCGTGTGACGTCACAAACACCATGTTTTTATTCCTTGAATGGAAATCACGCACGGACTGGACAGTTCAAATCAAATCAAATCAAATCAAATCAAATCAAATCAAATCAAATCAAATCAAATCAAATCAAATCAAATCAAATCAAATCAAATCAAAATCATCTTTTCAGTAACTATTCGAGGAGATCTACATAGCCTTTGACGTCATTCACATTCTATCAACATATCAAGTGAGTTTGTGTGTTTCTTTCAGAGACGAAGCATCATGATATTGTTACAATGTTTTGCTCCGTATCTACTTGAAAAAGGAATTTGTTATCTAAAGTCATTACTGCATCATAACTTCCGTAAGTATGGAACCTTTTTGTTGCTGATTATTCTTTTTAAAAAAAAGGGTTTACAATATTTGTTTTGATAACAAAAGCCCTGAATTACAAACCTCTAAATCTCAGTTAAGCCTTAAGACTTGTAAAGTTTTTTATAGTTTTTCGATCTAATTTTTTTCAAAGAGTGAAGTAAGTCGATAATTAATTGACTATTCAAATGATCTAAAAACCTCCAAGTAATTCCAATGACACATTCTAATGAGATCGCATCTAATGTTCTGTTCTATTAAAGGGGACGATGAAAGATACTCTTTGATTGAAAATGCTCTTGATGTTATTCTTCAATCTCTTTCAGGTAAATATTTTTAATATTTTGCGTTGAAATAAATTTTTCACTTATTTGGTTGGTACTTTAAGTTGAGATCTGCAGAAGTTTAATTTTTTTATTGCCTCCCCGTATCAGATTCTCAATTGTTACCTGTTGTAGGTTATATGTTAAAAATTGCTAAAAATTTTTAAACACAAATTTAAAGATGACAACCTTCAGATTTGATCATTGAAGTTTTTTAATGCTGAGGAGAATTACTTTGTTTGATTTTTAAAGAATAAAGTTCATCTCGAGTCATTATCCTTTACAATAAATCGATCCTTATTGGTTTGCGCAATTGCTGCTTCGGTGTGATGATCAGGAGTGCAAATTATTCAAGGTGTATGAAGCGAATAAGTTGCAGGGGGTGTGAGACTACACCCGAGTGATTGAGACAGTCAGCTCATAACGAATATATGATTGTTGAGAGTTGGAAAAATTCCTGCTAACTGTCGACTTTTCTTTTCCTACTTATTTTTTATTTAGAAAAGCCAGTCCACTCTCCTTAAGAGCTGGTCCAAACTGACGTCACACTTCCTAAATTTGTCTTGTTTGCGCTTGCATTAGGGATTTTTAGTCATATTACATATTTTTTTCGCACTTGGAGTCGATCGTGGAGAAATGTGTCGAGAAAATGCCTGCCTAAAAATAATTCTGTATTGAAGTATTAGTACCTGTCTGGGAATACAGTAGTCTAATGGTTCTCAGCCAAACTATTTTGCATAGAATCTCATTTTTGTAGATGTATGCAAACGAACTTGAGCACATTTTCTTACATTTTTGGTACCATATCACGTTCCGCTAAAACAAATTTAGGAATGTTGATGCCTCGGCCAAATTCTACAGATAACGGTAAAATTCACGAGAGGCTTTTGGTCAGGCACGTCAAAAGGAGTTTAACAGATATCTCCAGCATTTTTTAAAAAGTTTCGTTAAGTGTTCTTTATAAAGAAATATTGTTCCTATAATGACCCTACAAGGCATGATTTTTGCCGTAATTTTTGCCGAAAATAGGACCGTGGAGCAGGCGTATCTTTGGGTGCTTTACATATAAACCAGTTTTATGGAGCCCCAAGTGGGTTTTATATGCTAAAAATTAAGTCTTGAATTCAAGTTCGAAATTTTCATTCACAGCTGGCAGGGTGATCTCAAACATAGTAAACAGTGTTTAGTTTTGTTTTCATTTTTAGTTTTGAGCAGAGTGCATTTGGCAGTGTTTTACCTTCAAGGGATGTTTTATGCGTTAGGAAAACGGATGACAGGAATCCGATACGTATGTTGACGTTTTTTGCATTATTACAGATTAAACAATAGTCTTTGCCTCTTGAAAGTTTTTTTTAAGTCGAATTTTTATCAATTGTATTGAGCACATTGATATGTATCTAGTTATAAACAGTAAAAGTTCCTGTGTTCACCTTTTAGTGAACGAAAAAACAGATAGGGTTTGCTATATATCTGTTTTGCCATAGTCAGTTCAATATAAAATACAGTGAACTTCAGTTGTACTCACACCAAATGTTAGTCTAAATTTTGTGACTTTCGGCAAACTGTGACAATCAACGGAATTCAATTCGGAAGTATTGCATGGTTGGATCCATGTTTTGATTGAATATGAAACCGGACTGCCCACAGCCAAGTTTTGTCTTTAAGACGAGCGCCAATTAGTGAAGTCAACCTTAATTGATTTTGAAGAAAATTTCATCAGAAAACGAGCATTGACAAAAGGAAAGCGTACTTAAGCTATAGCCAACTATCAAATCTTCATTTCTAGTGCCTAAAACTTTTGTATTATCGCAAAGCAAGTCAAGAGTTAGTTTTTATTATACATCTAACTAGAGTGCACCTATAGCTGTTTGTCGTCAATACGATTTAAAGGATTTCTTGAATGCAAAATGTTGAATAACGTCTTTTCTCTCCTTAGGTCCTCCTTCGAGATTTTCTGAAGGACAGTTCTGCAAAAGAAAGCTACAAGTTTCTTGGGAAATTATTTCTTCTACAATTCATCATACTATCACCTTATTATCTTCTTCAATTTTTCAAAGTAATGGTCTTTATGTATCTTATTTTAGTCAATTTATATACTGTTAAGTTGGGTGGTGTTGAGTGGACATTTTTGTCGTCATTAAATTCACTGATGTTCAGTATAAGACATTCATTTTAGCAAAATGGTTCTAGGTAATTGCTATAGATGATATTGATATCGGATAGAAGGAGGTATTTACTTCAAGGATTTTAACCTCTATTTGAATTTCAAGATATTAGGATTCAAATTTCAAGTCTTATTATTCTTACAAAGGGTGAACGTAGGCAAGGTTCCTCACAAAAATGATAAAATGTGAAACGTACAGGAAGGCAGTATAGTAAGTTCTGTTCTCACTTGAGGAAAAGACAACGGTTTAATTTTTCTGTAGAATTCATTAAAGAATGCTTTTGCACATTTAACTTATAACTGCTCTATTATCCAATTGCTTTTATATTGTTTTGAGAGGATTGCAACCATTTAGACAGAGCCGCATTTGGTGATTGTTTGGCTAGCATGTATCTGATCATACTTTGACGGCAGATTTGACTTAAAATATGAAGCAATGAGTTTCCGCATTCTCTTGATTTCTGAAACGGCTTCGTTTGGTATGTGTTGTGTATGACTGTTTCTCTTGTATGTTATGTGTTATGTATCATACGCTCATTCGATTTCCGAAAATGTCTAGAACAAGCAATATAGCCTTTGATATACAACAGCTTAGGGTAAATCTTAGTTGGATATTCTTACATATCACTTTAACGAAAATTTCTCATTATTAGAAAGCAACGTACAGAAAAGAAGAGGCGAAACTTAGTACAGAAACTGATGTGTATATCAAAGAGAACACAAAACAGGTTGTCACAAAATCTAGAAGCAAACACAATTGCCCGCTGTGCTTGGAACCTATTGTAGACGCAACAACCACTTTATGCGGTCACCTGTTTTGCTGGAACTGCATTGTTTGTTGGTGTGCAAATAAGGTAACTGACGTTTACATGCTGCAAATAAGGTAGTCTGTATCACTTCTGTTCATGCAATGGGTCCATATCGTCCATATATAACAGAAAGTATTGTAGGGTTTTGGGGGGAGGATAGTAGGATGGGGGATAGTATGATGGAGAACAGTGGGGTAGGGGAAAGTAGGGTGGGGGATGGTACTGTAGGATGGGGGGATAGTGGGATGGGGAGATAGTAGGGTGGGGGGATAGTACTGTAGGATGGGGGGATAGTGGGATAGGGAGATAGTAGTCAGGATGGGGGGATAGTGGGATAGGGAGATAGTAGGGTGGGAGGGATAGTAGGGTGGGGGATAGTACGGTGGGGGATAGTAGGGTGGGGGATAGTATGATGGAGAACGGTAGGGTGGGGGGATAGTAGGGTGGGGGATAGTACTGTAGGATGGGGGGATAGTGGGATGGGGAGATAGTAGGGTGGGGGGATAGTACTGTAGGATGGGGGGATAGTGGGATAGGGAGATAGTAGGGTGGGAGGGATAGTAGGGTGAGGGATAGTAGGGTGGGGGATAGTTTTGATCAGTTATGCTTGCCTGCCTAGTACAATCACGCACTTCATGTCATCAGTCACATCTTGTCAAGCCAATCAAAATTGATTTAAAAGCGCTATGTTGGCAATTTCTTAGCATTTTCAGGCAAGAGATATCTTTTTCTGTTTGCATGGAACGCAAAACGACATTTTACATACACGTTTCCTTCCTTTAACTGGAAAATAGGCTTACTTGATATACTTTAAATAGACCGAAAATTGACTGAAAATAGGCTTATTTTCTTACAGATCCTTTTTCTAATTAACCTCTATCCTTCTACTGTACTGTATATCTTCCAGGAAATATTGCTGTTTCCTGAACCAACAAAAATAACGATCATTTTTCCTACATTAAGTATGTATCTTGTCGCATTATGAATCAAGATTTGGTATCTTAAGATTGGGTATGCAAACTTTGTAACCAACTTTGTTTGACTAACACTTTGTCTCTTTTTGTTGTTTCCTTGAACCAATCGTAGCTGATCCTTCCTATTTAAAATTTTATATGAACAGAGCTTTAATCATAAAGTCTACGGAGATTTTCTTACCTTGTAGCTCGAGTGTCCGGTGTGCAGAGATGAAGTCATACCAGCAAAGCTAATCTATTTATGTCATTTTGAAATGTAAGCGAGTTTCACCCCTTATTGACATTCTTACTGTTTTTTATGAAAATGAACATTTAGATCTCCATTTTGCGCTTCTGATATACATTTACACAGATGCAGTGAAATGTAAATGTGGCCTAAAGAACTTTGAAGGGACCCAGAAAATTCGCTTGCTAAAATGTGAGTTCGTTTAATAGAGGACTTTTCTATTTCGCTCTGTCGAATCCCATCTTTCTTTTGCGAATGTAATTTTATTACCGCTTTATATCTTCACTTGGTAACGGGCTACGCTCGAAACGTCGTTTTTAAATTCGCTTATTTTCCTCTTATATTTTCACCTTGTTTTTAAGTTATATTGCCATGTTATTATGCACGACACACAACCTAGTGTATTTATGGAATCTTTGTTGCTTTCCCAACCACTGCAATTAGTGAAACACTTTTTCTAAGCCCATAGCCTTTCTTTTTTATCAAAGAAAGACATATATAAATAGAAGCAAGTTAACCTGTTCTTTTAAGTAACGAGTTTTTAGAGAGTTCGACTATTATTAAGAACGGGAAGACTAGAGGCCCAGAAAAAGGATTGAATATTTTCAAAAAGTTTTCTCTATTTAAAACAGGTTAATCTGCTCCTAAATTTTCAAAAAAAGAGTTGAAATTGAAGAAATTAAATTGAAGATCAAAGTCGTATTTTTCGAAAAAAACACTGTTTTTTAGTTTAGGGTATTTTTGCTAAAAATATAAGGCTATAGTTATAGGCTTAGAGAAATTGTCATGTGTCGAAAATATTTTCATGTTAATTTTTCAAAAAAGCAAGGCTATAGCCTTAGAAAAATCTCCCAATTTTTTTCAAAATTTTTTTCTTCTGAGAAGAGATTAATTCACTTCTTAAAGATGTAAAAAGACCTCTAATGCATTTGGTTATTATTTGAGATCAGTTTTTTCGGAGAAAAGAGGTGTTTTTTCAAAGGGTTAATTTTTGAATAAAAGTAAGGCTATAGCCTTATAAAAATCTCCCAGTTTTTTTCAAAATTTGTTTCTTCTGAGAAGAGATTAATTCACTTCTTAAAGATGTAAATAGATCTCTAATGCATTTGGTTACTATTTGAAATCAGTTTTTTCGGGAAAAAGAGGTGTTTTTTCAAAGGGTTAATTTTTGAAAAATAGTAAGGCTATAGCCTTAGAAAAATCTCCCAATTTTTTTCAAACTTTTTTTCTTCTGAGAAGAGATTAATTCACTTCTTAAAGATGTAAATAGACCTCTAATACATTTGGTTAATATTTGAAATCAGTTTTTTCGGGAAAAAGAGGTATTTTTTAAACGGTCAATTTTTGAAAAAAATTAAGCTTATAGCCTTAGAAAAATCTCCGGATTTTTTCAAAATTTTTTTCTTCTAGAAAGAGATTAATTCACTTCTTAAAGATGTAAACAGACCTCTAATGCATTTGGTTAGTATTTGAAATCAGTTTTATCAGGAAAAAGAGGTGTTTTTTAAAGGGTCAATTTTTGACAAAAAGTAAGGCTATAGTCTTTGAAAAATCTCCGAATTTTTTCAAAACTTTTTTCTTCTAAAAAGAGATTAGTTCACTTCTTAAAGATGTAAACAGACCTCTAATGCATTTGGTTATTAATTGAAATCAGTTTTTTTGGGAAAAAGAGGAGTTTTTTAAAGGGACAATTTTTGACAAAAAGTAAGGCTATAGTCTTTGAAAAATCTCCGAATTTTTTCAAAACTTTTTTCTTCTAAAAAGAGATTAATTCACTTTTTAAAGATGTAAACAGACCTCTAATGCATTTGGTTAGTATTTGAAATCAGTTATTTCGGGAAAAAGAGGTGTTTTTAAAAGGGTAAATTTTTGAAAAAAAGTAAGGCTATAGCCTTAGAAAAATCTCCGAATTTTTTCAAAATTTTTTGCTTCTAAAAAGAGATTAGTTCACTTCTTAAAGATGTAAACAGACCTCTAATGCATTTGGATATTAATTGAAATAAGTTTTTTCGGGAAAAAGGGGTGTTTTTGAAAGGGTCAATTTTTGAAAAAAAGTAAGGCTATAGCCTTAGAAAAATCTCCGATTTTTTTAAAATTTTTTGCTTCTTAAAAGAGATTGATTCACTTCTTAAAGATGTAAACAGACCTTTAATGCATTTGGTTATTAATTGAAATCAGTTTTTTGGGAAAAAGAGGTGTTTTTTAAAGGGACAATTTTTGACAAAAAGTAAGGCTATAGTCTTTGAAAAATCTCCGAATTTTTTCAAAACTTTTTTCTTCTAAAAAGAGATTCATTCACTTTTTAAAGATGAAAATAGACCTCTAATGCATTTGGTTAGTATTTGAAATCAGTTATTTCGGGAAAAAGAGGTGTTTTTAAAAGGCTAAATTTTTGAAAAAAAGTAAGGCTATAGCCTTAGAAAAATCTCCGAATTTTTTAAAATTTTTTGCTTCTAAAAAGAGATTAGTTCACTTCTTAAAGATGTAAACAGACCTCTAATGCATTTGGTTATTAATTGAAATAAGTTTTTTCGGGAAAAAGGGGTGTTTTTTAAAGGGTCAATTTTTGAAAAAAAGTAAGGCTATAGCCTTAGAAAAATCTCCGAATTTTTTAAAATTTTTTGCTTCTTAAAAGAGATTAGTTCACTTGTTAAAGATGTAAACAGACCTCTAATGCATTTGGTTATTGATTGAAAAAAGTTTTTTTCGGGAAAAAGAGGTGTTTTTCAAAGGGTCAATTTTTGAAAAAAATTAAGCTTATAGTCTTAGAAAAATCTCGGAATTTTTTCAAAATTTTTTGCTTCTTAAAAGAGATTAGTTCACTTCTTAAAGATGTAAACAGACCTCTAATGCATTTGGTTATTAATTGAAATAAGTTTTTTCGGGAAAAAGGGGTGTTTTTTAAAGGGTCAATTTTTGAAAAAAAGTAAGGCTATAGCCTTAGAAAAATCTCCGAATTTTTTAAATTTTTTTGCTTCTTAAAAGGGATTAGTTCACTTCTTAAAGATGTAAACAGACCTCTAATGCATTTGGTTATTAATTGAAATAAGTTTTTTCGGGAAAAAGGGGTGTTTCTTAAAGGGTCAATTTTTGAAAAAAAGTAAGGCTATAGCCTTAGAAAAATCTCCGAATTTTTTCAAAATTTTTTGCTTCTAAAAAGAGATTAGTTCACTTCTTAAAGATGTAAACAGACCTCTGATGCATTTGGTTATTAATTGAAATAAGTTTTTTCGGGAAAAAGGGGTGTTTTTTAAAGGGTCAATTTTTGAAAAAAAGTAAGGCTATAGCCTTAGAAAAATCTCCGAATTTTTTAAAATTTTTTGCTTCTTAAAAGAGATTAGTTCACTTGTTAAAGATGTAAACAGACCTCTAATGCATTTGGTTATTAATTGAAATAAGTTTTTTCGGGAAAAAGGGGTGTTTTTTAAAGGGTCAATTTTTGAAAAAAAGTAAGGCTATAGCCTTAGAAAAATCTCCGAATTTTTTAAATTTTTTTGCTTCTTAAAAGAGATTAGTTTACTTCTTAAAGATGTAAACAGACCTCTAATGCGTTTGGTTATTGATTGAAAAAAGTTTTTTTCGGGAAAAAGGGGTGTTTTTTAAAGGGTCAATTTTTGAAAAAAAGTAAAGCTATAGCCTTAGAAAAATCTCCGAATTTTTTCAAAATTTTTTGCTTCTAAAAAGAGATTAGTTCACTTCTTAAAGATGTAAACAGACCTCTAATGCGTTTGGTTATTGATTGAAAAAAGTTTTTTTCGGGAAAAAGAGGTGTTTTTCAAAGGGTCAACTTTTGAAAAAAAGTAAAGCTATAGCCTTAGAAAAATCTCCGGATTTTTTCAAAATTTTTTGCTTCTAAAAAGAGATTAGTTCACTTCTTAAAGATGTAAACAGACCTCTAATGCATTTGGTTATTAATTGAAATAAGTTTTTTCGGGAAAAAGGGGTGTTTTTTAAAGGGTCAATTTTTGAAAAAAAGTAAGGCTATAGCCTTAGAAAAATCTCCGGATTTTTTCAAAATTTTTTGCTTCTAAAAAGAGATTGATTCACTTCTTAAAGATGTAAACAGACCTTTAATGCATTTGGTTATTAATTGAAATCAGTTTTTTTGGGAAAAAGAGGTGTTTTTTAAAGGGACAATTTTTGACAAAAAGTAAGGGGCTATAGCCTTAGAAAAAATCTTCCGAATTTTTTTCAAAAATTTTTTTGGGGCTTTTTCTTAAAAGAGATTAGTTCACTTCTTAAAGATGTAAGACTCTATGCATTTGGTATTAATTGAATAAGTTTTTTTCGGGAAAAAGGGGTGTTTTTTCTAAAGGTCAATTTTTGAAAAAGTAGGCTATTAGCCTTTAGAAAACCCATCTCGGAATTTTTTCAAAAAATTTTTTTCTTACTATAAGAGATTATTCTACTCTTAAGATGGTAAACAGACCTCTAATGGATTTGGTTATTATTGAAATAAGTTTTTTTTCGGGAAAAGGGGTGTTTTCTAGGGTAATTTTGAAACAAAAGTAGCTATAGCCTAGAAAAAATCTCCGAATTTTTTCAATTTTTTGCTTCTAAAAGAGCTTTAGTCACTTCTTAAAGATTAAAGAACTCTAATGCATTTGGTTATAATTGAAATATTTTTCGGGAAAACGGTGTTTTTTAAAAGGGTAATTTTTGAAAAAAGTAGCTATAGCCTTAGAAAATCTCCGATTTTTTCAAAAATTTTTTGCTTCTAAAAAAGGAGGATTTTAAGTTCACTTCTTAAAGATGAAAACAGCCTCTTAATGCATTTGTTATTAATTGAAATAAGTTTTTTCGGGAAGAAGGGGTGTTTTTCAAAGAGGTCAATTTTTGAAAAAGTAAGGCTATAAGCCTTAGAAAATCTCCGTTTTTTTCAGAATTTTTTCTTTCTAGAAAGAGATAATTCACTTTTTAAAGATGAAACGCGAGCTCTAATGCAATTTGTTGTATTGAAATAGTTTTTATCGAAAAAGGAGGTTGTTTTTTTAAAGGGTCAATTTTTGAAAAAAGTAAGGCTATAGTCTTT